CTGTTTGAAGTTTGTTCTTGCTATATCTCAAGTACTTGATGGATCTTTCTGAAATTTTATATGTACTTACAGCACCTACCATGAAGTGCTATATCTTTACTTCATACCAATATTTTTAAACATATATTCAGGTGAGCGATACAGGCCCTCTGGGCGGGCCTCTTGTTATATTTTAATATCAACACCCTAACCTGTCTATGAAAATGAAATTAATGCCAATGGTCATTAGGTAATTACTGATTCAGTCACAACTAAGACCGATTGAGAAAGTACAATTGTTTTTTTTAAATTATAGTTATGTGATAAAAATTAATTATATTAAAGGAATAATACGAACTGATCAGTGTATTTACCGAGCGGCTTGGCAAGCGTACGAGTGTCACGACCTCGACTACAAAATGCTGATAATAGAGAGCCTTGACGCGGACACGGAGACCCGGCGGCTGTCACCTGTCGCTGTTCTCTGTGACGGGTATCTGGACCTAATAAATGGACCCCAGGACCACAGTGGCTGTAGGATAGGCAACTGTCGTAAACGGCTTTCTACGTTCATGGCTATTGTAGCTACAGGTGAGTATGGTTACATCATTTATTGAGTATTGTAGAAGTGTACATACATTAAAACGTAGAGTCAATATGATTCTATGAAAACGAAACATTTAATAAAGCGTTTCTCACCAGAGAGTGATCAATACTCCAACATATCAACAAAGTGAATAATTTGTCATAGAAATACACAGTGTATATATTCATGCTACTGCATTTGTATGTACAATTCCATATATGGCATGGTTGGAATACTTATTTGGCACAACAAAATATCTGATTGTTTTTACCTAGCTATTCATGCAGTATTTAAACATTCAGCAACACGATGTCTTCTGTCATACGCCTCGGTACAATGTTACCAGTATACACCTAGTCCAACCGGTGCGGGACAAGTATAACAAAGGTTAATTTTCTACTTTACGTGAAACAATGTTCTATTATTTGCAAGCATTAGAGTATTACCAAACCATCTGTAGATATATATTATTTACCTTCACTGTTCGGTTCTACATTCTCTTGATATTGTAATCAAAATGTTAAGATAAATCGTACAACCTGAAGAAATTTGAAAAAAATTGAGTATTTCTCCCTTCATTATTAAGGGAGGATTTGGTTGGGTTTAGTATTGTTTAACATCCTATCAACAGCTATGGTCATTTAAGGGCGGCCTCCCCTGAGTGCACGATGACACAATTTGTACAGATCTGGTATGTATCGGCCAGGGAACAGAACTCAAAGCTTTTCTCACAGGGGCGAACGCTCAACCAAAGGCCAAAAGTGAGGCATTGTAAAGGGAGATATTATAAAGAAGAAAACATAAGATCCCAAATTAAGTCGCCTTTTACGATCATACAATTGGGGCAGCAGGTACAAATCTTACGCCATACATGCAGGGACTATTAGGGTAGGATATACGGCAATTGTTGATGTTGCGCTTATGAACAAAGTCCTATCGCCTATTAAATATAACATTTTGCGGAGAAAGAAAAACTTCACTTCTGAAGCTTAGTTGTAGCAATGTATTGTTATTCTTAGAAATTTAGTTATCTTAGATAATCACTTCATTACTCTGTCTTATCCTGTACTTTATAGTTTCTGATACTTGAGACGGTGACGCTGATTGATTTTTGAATATATTTACATGAAGTGATCATATTGCAAAAAGTAAATAATGTGATAATGTGAATTTCTTTTTCAGTGTATACTATAGGCCATCTTTTAACTTATGCAAGAATGTAGAATATTTTTATAATTTAATTAAAAGTCAAATGTCTGTTTAACAGGGAAGCATTACCTACTTCATTTTACAACTACAAGCCCACAGACGTTGCGATTCTTCCTATTGAACTCCAACGATAACCAGGTCGTTACCTTAGGTATATGGTACTCTCAATCCAACCGTCGAGATGTGTATGTGAATGACGAACTAGTTCTAGCAAAGAACGCTAGAATGGTTAATGGTAAATATGTAGTCGATCCGCCTTCATATCCAGGTGAATTCGTTCCGGCTACAGACTCCAGTGATGTCACCGGAACTAATTTCTTCGACAGGGACTCAAATATTTTGTATGTTTTAGTTAGAGGCAGCAGTCCAGTCAAAATAGTAACAAATCCGTCGTTTATCGTCTCATTTCAAATACCAGCATTGACAGCAGAGGAGTTCTACGGGGAAGCATTAATACATAATTTAGCTTTGTTTTTCGATGTACCGCCGGAGAAAATCAGGGTAGTTAATGTTGTGAGGGAGTCTGGAAGAAGAAGAAGACGACGAAGAGATGTAGCTGAGGATATGGAGATTCAATTTGAAATCAGTGATCCCCCAAAAACAGGTATTGATCATTGGGGTTTACATGATTTGTAATCATTTCTTCATTATTTAATATTTTTTGTTTTGTTTAACATTTTTGTATATCTGTTTAAATATTTATACAATATATGATATTTTAAATCTCATAAATTTAAATTATAAAAAAAAAAATCGATCCGGTATGTATCCGTTACACAAAATTTGTCAGAAAAAAACAATTCAGTGAAACCTAGATCAGCACAACCATAATCTATAAGTATGGTGCGAAAAACGCTTAAACAGGTATACCGCTAAAGTATGTACATTTACGTTTTAAACTGGTGAAATATATAGTCGACATTATTGCTAACTATCACATTACTATTTGAAGATGGGAACGCTACAGAAAACGAAACATTGACAACGGAATCCTTGTTGAACATATCATCAAAGTTTATCAATGAGGTGCAGGGAGGAAAGGACTTAAGTAAGGCACTCAATGTGACTATAAGCAGTATTGCTGTGAGTGAACCGCTTCCTGAGGTACGTGAAGACGGGGAATACATAATAGAAGACTCCGATGGGAAACTGACAATACCAAAGAGTATGAACATAACCATACAGCCGTCTGCGTCATACGAAACTGTACAATTTCCTACACAACCCTCTCTGAAAGTGTATGATGAGCAGGTAACAAACATTCAATTCATAAATGCGTATATATACTAAGTTATTATATAACTGATATTTAAACAGAATTTGGTTGGCTGAGAGCTCTTCACAACCTAGTCAAAAAAAATCATAAATGAGTGGTGCTAATTTCCAGTCCTGAATGGAGGAACGATGTCATGTGACGAATCTGTAAATCTGTTACAGACCTCGTTCTATGAATGGAAAAGTGTTACAAACCTCGACCTATACATAAAAAGTGTTATAGACCGTTACTAAAAATAGGCATAGGTAATTTCCCAGCAATTAATTAACAGACAATCAAATGATATGTTATTAACCTCGTTCTATAAATAGAAAAGTGTTACAGACCGTGAATATGTTACAAATCACACTACTAAATTCAACTACAAATGAACTATTTCATCAAATTCTCATCTATGTCATGGATGCTGTCGATTGTGCAAATAATATTTACTTGAAATTAAATATCACATGAATTGAATATGAAATTGTATATATCATTTTGTATTCAAAGTTCTTCAATCTGTGATTCTAAAATAGTCCATGCCATCCATGTGTTTATGACATGAGAAATGATTAATCTTTTTATAAAATTGTCATACAATAAAACAAATGTGGACAGTTTCGGTCTATCCCTGTTTAAATCAGAGAAAAGTCCTCACATGGAGTCCATAATTGCAGTATGTTCACCGGTTTCCGTGAAATCCAGTGAACATCAAATTCTACATATATAACTTTGAAATAACCATAATATCCGGGAAATTCGAGCACTACCGTCACAACAACAGTGGCGTCGGTATTTTAGCATTGTTTAACGTCCTATCAACAGCTACAGTCATTTAAGGACGGTTTCCCCTGTGTGAAAGATGCATGCGTATAGTGTATGCGTGTGTGTGTTGGGAGGCTGCGATATGTTCGTGTTTGTCACATTGTGATAGCGCGGAACTGATGCCGATATTATAGTGCTAGCCCAGTAAAACACACTGCCGAAAACACCCAACAGGACACCCCACCGGTCACATTATACAGACAACGGGCGATCAAGTCGTCCCACTCCAAAATTGCTGAGTGTTAAGCAGGATCAGAAACTACCATTTGTACAGTCTCTGGTATGTCTCGGCCAGGGCAGAACCCAAAGCCTTCCTCACAGGGGCGAGCGCTCAACTAAAGGCCAAAAGTGAAGCAATGTAAAGGGAGACATTAGAAAGAAGTTGTTTAAAAAAAAAGAAAAGATAAGATCCCAAATTTAGTTTCTTACGACCATGCAAAGGGGGCAGCAGGTACATTTCTTACGCCCTACCTTGCTATCGTCAGTAATGATACTGTTATATATGGGGAATTATCATTAAGATAAACGATAATAATTTACTGCATTGAAAACAGGCTTTATGTATACACATCATCTGTTACAGGATCAACCGATGACAAAGTTGGGCAGTATTGGCGACCCTTGGCAGATGACTGCATATCTGATATCCGGCGCTAACCTATCTGCCACACTACATGGTACTACAACCGTAGATGTGGTTGGAGGATGGGCGAATTTCACCGACCTTACCGTATCCCATTACGGGAACGACTTCTGTCTTCACTTTAATAAGACTTACCCAATTAACGAAAAACATTTATCTACTCAATCAGACACCTTTTCTGTTGCGAAGTTAGAGGTCGCTTTGAGTAATAATATATCTACAGAACCCTTAGTTATGAACAACGCTACCGAAATGAGGATTAATTTGATAGACAACACCACAAGACATCGAATCAGCGACATAGCATGGAGGGTAAATATTCAGTGATTGAGTAGCCACAATATATCCTGTCCTTCTGCCCCCAGAGGGGGCCACACTAACTGTTTATACAAAATTGAGTCATTTTTGCCCAAGGATGCTCAAGGCTAAATTAGGGAAAAAAAATATCCCTACGGTAGAATAAGGATTTTAAAGGTTTTACCTCTATTTCCCCTATTCGGCCCCGACCCTCTGACCCAAGGGGAGCCACACCCATGGTTTATACAAAATAAAGTCCCCTTGGCCCAATGATCCTCACAAGCTAAATTTGGATTAAATCCCGTAATCCCTATGGTAGAAGAAGGATTTTAAAGGTTTTACCACTATTTTCCCTGTTGGATCCCGCTCCTTTGCCCCCAGGGGGGCCACACCCACCGTTTATACAAAATTAAGATGCTCTTCGGGCAGGTGAGCTAAAAATGATTTTTTTTTTATTAAAAGCATACAAATACAAAATACAGCAATTTAAATATTCAAATCCATCGAAAAAAGTATCAGTATGCAATTGTGTCAACGTCCTGTATTCATAAGGAATGTAGGCTAATTTTTCCTGATAACATGTTATTTGTACTTTATTCCAGGGCCATAATTGGACAGCAACAGTCAGTCTCGTGAATGCGTCGGATACTACGGGGAACATGTCAGGGTCTCTCCAGGCGATATTTGATCCCGACACTGGTGAAGCTGTGTTTGATTCATTGACATTCGATCAGATTGGCTTATACTTTTTGACATTTCATGTAACTTCTTCCCCAGAAGAGTATGATATTAACGACAATGTCCAGGTCCAGGTAGTTAATGAAAAGCAGTTTGCCCTACTCAACGACAACACAACGATCGTCACCAATATAACCGTAACGTTTGAGGAAAATTACCAGCAGATTGTGGGGGATAACGAGGCCAGTTTCGGAGCCATGATCGCTAATATATTTGCACAACAAAATCCTGATGTACTGTTGTATCTCGTATCAGTTAAGGAAGGTAATAAATATTACATTTAACTGATCAATTTGAATAGATGCACTCAAAATGAAATGAGACTAGCATGGATTTGTTCATGCCAGGCACACTTTTCTTTCTTGCTGTAATTACAATGAAGTGTTAACAAACACAAAGTTATATTTGATGTGTATCATACTACAGGATGATGTATAAATACCGTGTTACGCTATATCGGTTTTTATTACTTTGTAGGGAGCATAGTAGTCAGACTAGCGATGAGAAGTCAAGCAGGCGATATCAACAGTACCGTGGAATCAATCTATGAAATAGTGAAATCCGGCAACTTTAATTTCAATGGCGTAAACCTGAAATCCCCGGAACTTCGTGTGAATGAAATAGATGTTTCATCAGTAAGTGTTTTCACCTTTTGTAATTAAACTTGTTATCATGCCTTACCTACAGACGCAGTAAAAGAGTAAGGGTGATGTATTCCATCTTAAGTGGGGCCCTTGCAGAATCAGGGATGTTCTACATCGCTTGCTAATGGAGCAATGAGAAAAATCATATTCATTTGCTTACACGTTTTCAAAACAAAGGCATACATATATATATATATATTTCTTTTTTGACAGCCCAACTTTTCGCTTTCTGTTATTGCCTACCTCAGCACATGTTTTCACCTTAGCTGTTGTCATGCTTTGTGTTTACTGTGTATTGCAGGTCACAACAACGAAAGTTGTTCCAACATCAATGGTACCTAAAACCACAGCACCGGATACTACAACTACAACGGCGGTAACTACGACATCAGCGGTGGATGTAACAACTACAACACCGGTTACTACGACAACAACACCGGTTACTACGACAACTACGGTTGATACTACCACTACACCACCGGTTACTACAACAACTGTTGACATAACGACTACAACACCGGCTACTACGACAACGACGGTGGATACTACCACTTCACCACCGGTTACTACAACAGCTGTTGACATTACGACTACAACACCAGTTACAACGACAACAACGGTGGATACTACCACTACAACACCGGTTACTACGACAACGACGGTGGATACTACCACTACACCACCGGTTACTACGACAACGACGGTGGATACTACCACTACAACACCGGTTACTACAACAACTGTTGACATTACGACTACAACACTAGTTACTACGACAACAACGGTGGATACTACCACTACACCACCGGTTACTACGACAACAACGGTGGAAACTACCACTACCCCACCGGTTACTACGACAACGACGGTTGATACTACCGCTACACCACCGGTTACTACAACAGCTGTTGATAGTACGACTACATCACCGGGTACTACTACGACAACGCCGGAGGAAACTTCGACTTCAACATCGGTTGCTTCGTCAACAACGACGGATACTACGACTTCAACACTGTTAACTACGACAACTGTGGATTCTTCGAAATCAAGTAACAAGAATTCTGGGATGTCCTTTCCTACACTGATTGTAATTGTCACTACTCCATCAGTACTTTTAGCGGGAATAGTTGTTATTTTTCTCATTATCAAATGCAACAGACTGCGACATCAGGATGCAAGAGGTAAGTTAATACATATTAATTATGGTTGTTTTATTAACTCACCTGCCCGAAGGGCAAGTGAGCTTATGCCGTACCGCGGCGTCCGTCGTCCGGCGTCAATTTTTCCTTTTAAAAGCCTTTATCTCCTGAAAGACTGATTCGATTTTAAGTAAATTTAATATGGAGCATCCTAGGGACAAGGGGCTCAATGGATTTATGAAATAAGGGTGTGGCCCCGTAGGGGGTTTAGTTAGGGGCCAATAAAGGGGAAAAATAGAAAAAAAATATCAAAAATCTTCCCTATTTCCAGAAATGCTAAAACCAAATACTACTCATAGCTGTAAAGGCCTTTGGGTGGTTTTTGACAAATAAACAAAATAGGTCATATCTTCCATTGTTTTAATCGGAAGTTGTTCATATTTGACAGAAATACTTGTTAGGGGGATGGGGTCTGCAGGTAATTTTTTATGAGCCTGACCCGCTAGGGGACTAAATTAGAGGCCGAAAAGGGGGGGAGGAGCAAAAATCTTCTTCTTTAGTTATAAAAATGCTAGGATCAAATACTACCCATAGCTGTAAAGGCATTTGAGTGGTTTATAAAATTTGTGATTTTTATGTCACCCAGGGCCCCCGTTTGCCCCTGAAGAGGGGGTAAAATTTAGTATATTTTATATAGGAAATAGGCATGACGGGCCATATCTTCCATTGTTTTGAAAATAATTTGTTCATATTTGAGAGAAATGGTATAAATCATGTGAGCCTGCCCCCCTAGGGGACTGAGTTAGCGGCCGAAAAGGGGGGAATTTAGGGAAATTTAAAAAAATCTTCTCCTCCAGTTCTAGAAATGCTAGAATCAAATACTGCTCATAGCTGTAAATGTCTTTGGGTGGTTTATACAATTTGTGATTTTCATGTCTCTCAGGGACCCCGTTTGCCCCTGAGGAGGGGGTGAACTTTATTATAGTTTATATATGAAATAGACATAATTGGTCATATCTTCCAATGTTTTGAACGGAATTTACTCATATTTCACAGAAATACTTGTTAGGGAAGGGAGGTTTGCTGGTATAAAATGTATGAATCTGACTTCCTAGGGGGCTGCGTTGGGGGCCAAAAAGGGGAGAAATTTGGGAAAATTTCAAAAATCCTCTTCTCTAGTTACACAAATGCCAGGATCAAATACTACCCATAGCTGTAAAAACGTTTGGGTGGTTTATATAATTTGTGATTTTCATGTCTACCAGGTCCCCCGTTTGCCCCTGGTAAGGGGGTGAACTCAAGTATAGTTTATATAGGAAATATACTTAATATGCCATATCTTCAAATGTTTTGAACGGAGTTTGCTCATATTTGACAGAAATACTTGTTAGGGGAGGTAGGTCTGCTGGTATAATTTTTTCTGAACCTGACCCTCTAGGGGGCTGGGTTTGGGGTGAAAAAGGAGGCGAATTTCGAAACTCTTCTAGAAATGCTTGTATCAAATACCACCTATAGTTGTAAAGACCTTCGAGTGGTTTATATACTTCGTGATTTTCATGTGCCCAGGTCCCTCGTTTGCCTTTGGGGAGGGGGTAAAGTTTGGTATTGTTTATATAGACAATTCGACAAATGAACAGCGATCACATACTTGTTATCTCCAACCCAACTAATGTTCTATAAAATCTCCATAGTAACGCTTCCAAGTTCTTACCCTACATGTCTGAAATGGTTACAAATTGGCATTACAGAACAAATGTAAATATTGTGCCATGATTGCTTAAATAACCAGGTGACCGATACAGGCTCCATGGGCCTCTTGTAATTAAAGAGACTGTCCGTATATACTAGGAATTTTTAATTCAATGAAAACGACTCTATATTTTATGTGTGCGCCTAGGTTTGTCTGAACATGACATTAACTAATCTTGTCTGATAGTACGATCATAAGCAACGGGAATTATTTCAAAATAAGTTAGTTGTTGGATGATGATTTCTTAATTACATGTAATTGAAACTCTATTTATGATGCATACATTTTGTCCAACTTATTAGAAGTTAAACCCGTCTGCCCAGTTATCCTTGGTTTGGTTCAGTTTAGTTTTGTTTGACGTCCGATCAACAGCTATGGTAATTTAATGACGGCCTCCCCTGTGTGCAAGATGCATGCATGTAGTGTATGCGTGTGTGTTTTAAAGAGGCCGCGATATGTTCGTGTTTGTCACATTGTGATAGCGCGGAACTGATGCCGATATTATAGTGCTACCTCACTGAAACACACTGCCGAAAAAAACACAACTAGACACCCCACCGGTCACATTATACTGACAACGGGCGAACCAGTCGTCCCACTGTCAATGCTTTTTCAACAGATCGTATTTTTAATTTCCGGTTTGCTAACAAAAGTAAACGTTGAAATAGATTTAGCTACTTAGCAACATATTTTATCATAACAGTTCTCTAAACCATTATTGTTTCAAATGATGCAGTTAACTAGCAAATAATAACGATGCGTTGGACAGTAAACGGTGCGATGCAATCATTTTAACGTTGTTGATTAGAACTCTTGATTGATAAATAAATAGTTATTAAAACAAACGAAACGATCATATTCTATTTAAAAACATTACTTTTACACAGAGAATAGTCGATATTTCCGTGTATTTCTTTCCCTATAATAAAGGTTCAGTTTTTCTGTAATATGATTAATCAGGGTATTATGAGCTGAAGCATGATAAACACTTATTTTGTTAATTGTTCCGACCCTATCATGTTTCACTCTTTAAGGCTCCCTAGTACAGCCAGCAGTTGTTCACCTGAGTCATCATTCAAGCACACGCAATAAACGCACTGCTTTTAATATCGAAATCTGCCAGAGCTGTAGAATATATCTGTATTTATCTCCATCCACTACATTTAAGGCCTAACACTACTGATCTAAGACGAATTGTGAATGATTATGTCTTATCTCTAATTTTAGAAGAGTTTAAAATTATTGAAATGTCACTGATCTGTTATTCAAATAACATTGCTTAATCCGTTTCGTTTTAAACTAAGTTTGTACAATTGACTGACATACAATCGGAATGTACAATTTAATCGTATAAATAGGTAAAAGAATAATGACCTTAGAGTACTAAAACATCTGAATATTTATATACTATTATGTATTCTTGCTACAACAAATGGCATATTATACAACAAATTTTTATGTTTTAGATAAATGCTTCTCTTTAAAACCAGTTCACTCGTTGTCATTAAAATACCAATTACTTGTATCTTCATTTTTTCGTGTTTCTTGAAGACTGTTTTGCAGTGGTCAATAAACACAGCTCGTTTATTTATTTCGTAGAGAGTAGAGACAACATTTTATAAATTGTACAAAAAAAGGAAGAAAGGGATATTTACAAAATAACGACATGAACTATTCTATATATAATGAATACAAGAAAAAAAATGAGTTGAAGTATATCGTTGCAGATTGTGATGGGTTAATAATGTTAAATTGAATATTAAATATTGTTTTTTGTCTACAGAACAACTAACCTGGAAGGATTCATCGATGGTCGCTGACAATTTTCACACGACAGAAAACCAACAAGGAAGAAACGAATATCCCTACTCGTCACCTTTTTCGATTACCAACAATATGAAGTCATATCAAACGCAACTACCACGCATACAAACCAATTCTGTCTTGAGGTCAGTTACCCCAACGATAACGCCATCGAATTTCGCATACCTTGGCGTCGGTGATAACGGACATTCTTCTCGGACATTTTACACAGGAAAACAACAGAACAGGTTCAATTAATTATCATGTATGGGTACTATGTCCAAAATCGTTGCAACATTGGTTAGCAAAATGATAAGAATCAAAGGTTTTAATTTTCTCAATTTATTAAGTACAGTGAACTTAAATTATTACACCAGATTAAAGTTGTGATCACTATTAAATGTGCTGATTATGTTAAGGTATTCCAAACATGATGCATTCCAAAATTGAAAATGGGACTGCCATACATCCTCGGAATTCAAAACAATATTTAATGATTTTCTTATGCTTGTATGCATCTCTGTATACTATCTTTAAAAGTTTAGCGGTATTTTCGGAGAGTTTAATATTTGAATTGTTTGTATATATAACCTTTTAACCACTTAACAATAATTTGTGATGAGAGTTCTGTTGATACCGCATAAATGTCTGTAACAAACCTATGTTATAACATGATGGCCAAGTTAATTACTTCAGATAATGTGCTAGAAGATGTACCTTACGTACACATGTTACATGAAAATCGGAATGCTTATGTTTAAAAGATACAACATATAGATGATCTGGAAGGTGTCCATGGAAATTTATTACAACTATTAATTATTTTAAATTATTGATTAAGTTAGATACTCCAGAACCATTTCATCTCATTGCGCCCTTCATACAAAAAAGTGTAACATAATCGGTGTAAGGCACCTGTATTGGCTTCCTCTGATTATGTCATAATCTTTGTAATTATTAATGTTCTACCTGTATGTAGATTTAGAGAGGAAGACATGAACGCAGATAAAGTACGTCCAATGGGAATTTTACTTTTCTTTTACAGATTTAAACATTTGTATATGTCTACACGTTGATCAAACACGTGTCTACTCAAATACGCTACCGAAATTGGTAAACGGCCATAACACGTTTTAAACTGTGCTATAAAGTTGCAAATGAATTTGTTTTCATCTGAGCATATAGCATTTATTTTATTCATCAAAACGTTTAGAGTGCGAAATGGCTTTGATGTAACCAAGTCAGAAAACAAGAAAAAAATTCCTTCGTCGATAATATTAATTTTTGAAGTTGTACTATATACGACATCACGTGCCTATTTTACCACGTGACATATCACAGGACCATCAAGTATGTTGACAAGTACACGAACCGCTCATGACTCTTTTAAATATTGTTATATATAACTATATTAAGTATCTTAATATTCCTTGTTTTGTTTACCTGTATAGCCAGAAACGTGTTTCTATATAATCGATAGTTCGTATAATCTAGACATTTAATTAATCAAGTAGTTTTATGTTTTTTAGGAATTTGCAACTATTTGTAAGGAGAACAGTTATATATTCCGAACAGATATATCTGTTAGTGAATTCGCGATTAAGATCGGGATTCATTATCAGATAATCAAACACCTATTGCGTCACGTGATATGTTTACATTTTTGTCACAACAAATGACGATGGAACTGATATCACCTGTGTACAAGAGTGTATTAAGAAACTTAAATCATCCTATGTATAATGATAAATGTAAATGTTTCAATTAATCATATTATTCTCCGACGAAAGATACATTGTATCTTACACCTTTTATTTTAAGATGTTGTGGGTAATAACATGTAATAATATTAACATGTCTCGGAAACTTATACAACAATTTAACGTTAAACCATAGTTCAAAAATGATATAAGTTTTACACTAATTGTGCGACAGTGTTATTTCCACAGATAACTATCCTTCGGACAATTTCTTTAGTTGTGTTTTATGTTTCCCTTTATTTTTAGAATAGATAGATTCCATGACTAAGTATTTAATTGGTACACAGGAAATCGATATATAAATGGTTATCCTCCAGGAACGCTGTTATAAAATGCATGCAGTTTAAAAAAGGTGAAGCTAAAATCGGTCACATAGGTTTAATTTGTCTTTAAAAAACATTGTAAGTAATTGGAAGGTATTTTAATTTCCTTTTGAGAGGTTGGTGTTTATTTCAGAGAGTAAAGTAAAGGACAATAACATGATGTTTAACAAAGATGGTGTGTTATTAATATGTAAGTAAACATGTATCATATTTCTGTATTCCAGAATAAATATTTAATTGAATAATCAATCTTGGCTTGTGTACTTTGTATTCTTTGAAGTTAATCGTGACTGACATTACCGTATTATTGCGTCAGCTATGGCAAAACCGCTTTCTCATGATTTAGTGTCGAACATGGATGGCATGCAGTATTCACTTATTAATCACCCGTTATNTTAAGTACATCATTTGATGACCGTGCAGGAAACAAGAAAAAGGTATCTGTGACTACAATATAATGTTTGGCATTTGAACGTATCCTTGGACAATTTTGTCAGCTGTATATTTCCTATACTTTTTACCTGGAGTATCCATATTATGTAATACAAGCACAGATTTGGGTGGCGGAGCGCACAGTTTAAGAAGGGGATGAGCTTAGCCTACGATTTTGCCTTTACCCTTGAAATGGTTGTCAAGGACATATTTTCTATACTCTGCAAGAGTAATCAATACGGTCCAAGTGTTAATAGGAGGATATATCCGATCAAACTTTACCAACTTTAACAAAACAGCTGTAAACGTAGATAATCAGTAAATCCCCGAGAAATAGATCAACTTTGTCGTTAGTGTTGTGTAGAGGACATCAATTAGTCATACAAAAGCCGCCTGCTACAATACCGCAGTTTGTAACAGCATGTTTATACTTTTCTCAAAATTACAAGATTTTGTATTTCACTCAGACACACATAAATGAGTGTAACAAGAGGTCATTTATATATAACATAGTTAGAGTGCATGACAGGCAAACATTCTATATCATAGCATAGTATAATAATTACATATATACGTCTAGTTACATACACATATTTCCGTGTTCAACGTATACAAAATGTCACTAGCAAACAGAAGACAAAACTTGTAGAATAGATACACTATAATACTTTTGTTAATATTTGAACAAATAAGCTAACACTATTTAACAATTTCATATTAAAAACTGTGAACATTCCTTTCATTTCATTTCTTTTCAACTGTGACAGGAAAATAAAAATAAATATGACAAAATGCATTACGCTGTTTTCACGTGATTAAAATCTTCGGGTAATATCTCAACGCTAATGCTTTTAAAAAAGTAAGTGCGTGTTTGGTATGTTTTTGTGTTAATCAATATGTGTTTTTAATTTTTCTCAACATCATATGATCGTAAATAAAGCAAATGTTGCACACTCGTGAAAAATAACCCTGATATACGGTTGTTTGATTTTAACGATTTTCGATGTTGAGGGAAAGAAAACAATTATTAATCCATCAATGAAAACAGAAAGTCAGGAGAAAAAAGGAAAAATATTTATTAAGCACACATGGATATGAAAAAGAAACTTATAACTACGTGCAAAGCTATGCTATATTATTGGATATATAGAGTAAACTAAGGGCAAGGTTACATATCTATAATACATAATCTGTGCGCTATCACACTTTGTCAACTTAAATCAACTCTTTCCGATACTTTTTATAATATATATTTTCATTTTAATACTCTTAACAAAACATTATTTGTCATAGAAAACTTCAGGGTATTGTTGCATCGAAAGAACGATATTATACGATGTCGACAAATTTCGCTGATTTTTATAGCAAGCCATAATAAGATACCGTCGTTTATCGTTTATTACCCGCGGGCTATGATCTTTAGTTTTAAAAATGTCGTATTTGGGATATCTGATGCAGCGGGAAACGTGACAAAAAGGTTTGAAAAGGTAACAAAGTGCGGGTTATGCGATATCTTTCAAATGCAAAATTGTATATTTCTTCCACTCTAAACAAAATCACAACAAAATTATAGAAGTACTGAAGTTTCATCATCGAGAGCTTGCATGGAAAGTCTTTTTACATAACTAGCACAGTGTAACTGTCGTTTGATCGAAGTAATAAGTGGTCAGCTAGGAGTCGCTATGGCTGTTTGCATCAGATTATTAATGATACGATCAGTGTTTTATACATGTATACCTATACAACTAAACATATAATATAAATTGGAAACATCGATTACTTACACATACATATGATAGCTACATGTACTTAACGTTAAAATTTAATCCATTTTCATTACGTAGAATCGTTGTCTTATGTAGCAGATCACCCACTGGTATATAATTAGGTTATATTTGTATAACTATTTAAAAATATCCAATTTAATGACAATACATGTTCAATTTAGTATTCTATGTTGAAATATTATCCTTTAGAGTAGGTTATTTTATCGGGATTAGCTTAAATGTGTTACAAGTTTTAGTTATATACAAGTGTATGTAACAGCCATTCATTACATAGAACGTAGCATAAAGCAAATAAAATTAAAATAATGTAAACTGGTTCATAAATCAAACCTGATCAATACCAACTCTATGAAAATAACTACTTAAATTCCATATATCCTTCTAGTACCTGAACTACACTAACTACAAAAATATAAACAAATATTCATGACCGACACCTTATTTCTCATTGGTTGTCAAATATGTATTCAACATTTGAAGCCGAATAGTCAAAGTTCATACCGTTTTACACGACATTGCGTTATGTTATTTTACGAATGTATGAGCAACCCTAGTAGAATTAATGACTTTGCGTCTTATGAATTTACTGAGCTTTAAGACATTGATTTTCCTTGTATTCCCTTGATTAAATCTGCTATTTGAACCGTCACCTGGATCCCATTAGGTTATTTTACGCTGTGATTTTTCACAAAATTTCTTCAACAAATTCCTCATTTCGTATCAATTACTAATACAACTTTCTTCTATAATCCTCTGCCTGGCTTGAAAGCATGCTTCCCGCTGAGGACGGTGGTTGTTGATTCTCTATCTCATACGTAGGGGTGAATGGCCTCCTGATGACGTTAGTTTGTAGTCGCGGAATGTGATGTTTATAAGACTTGATATCCGAGTCCATCGAGAAAGGGGACAGATAAGCATATTCGTTACTTTTTATTCCGCCTGGTCTTGGTTTAAAGTCATCCGAGCTAACTGTTGAAGTTCTCGTCAAACGTTCTAAAATTACAAACAAAAACAACATTAACGGCAAATCAGCTTAAATTCACCTGAAACTACGTAAACAATAATTGAAGCAAATTAATTCTTGAATATTGCAATACTGGTTAGTTTATATTTGATGACTTTATCAACTAATTTACAATTTTAACATTAAGTATTGCATTAAAAGTTTATTTTTCGATTTCTCCAATAGCCAAATATTGTTATTTAATTCTGTTCGCGAATCACAATGATATTTTAAATTTTAAACCTACCTGATTGTTGCTCTTGTTTCCGGATCCTCTTGCACTTACAAATGATGACAATAAAAATTACTCCAAGCAGTACTGCTACTGGAGTAATGACTATTACAATCACCACAGGAAAGGACAGTCCGGCATTAGTGGAAATCGGTGTCGTTGTGTCAGTAACTGTAGATTCTTCACTGCTGGTAGTTATGTGTTTGTTGTCTTCGGTTGTCATGGCTTGACTCGTAGTAACTTGTCAAAAAATAATGAAGCAAGCAATTAATGTATCTAAATTTAGCTCTGTGTAATAAAGACATAAGCCATTTTTATAAGTACAAATATAAAAGTGAAAGTATAAAAACCAAACTTAATAATCGACAAAGTGCATATCACAGACTATGAAATACTCACTCGATAGATCCTGGAATCAAATAACAGTTGCATATGAGTTTTATGCATGAAGGCACGTGTACATGTCTTGTACTGTCCCATGAAATTTGTTTTCAGTAAAACGTAAACAAAAAGTATGATTATGATTTGCCAATGTCGAATTTCATTGTATTAGAATGTCAATAATAAGCTGTTTTTAACCTTACACTTTGTGATATTATTCTTTTATATTTTTTTTGCACACGTAATTACTCACCTTGTTACCGATTATTGTCATATACATTGGTTCAGAGGAAGTCAATGTTAAATGCTTACCTTTGCGAAGATGGACTTCTTGATTCCAGAACAGTTGTTTTAATGAGTACTTTATCAGAAGGGGATTATCAGGTGATTTAAAGGAAACAACAGGTGTGTGATCTCACAATTCACCAACATTAGAGTGTTGTGATACAACAAATGCACCCGTTAACTGGTAATTAACAGTTAACTGGTAACATGTAAGGCTTTTTTGATTACATGCCATCTGTGGGTACAGTACGTACATCTGTATGTCCTTACTTTATTTACGAACGTGTCGATATAGGTACTTTCAAATAATTTTGAAACGTTATGTGTTGATTTCTGCTAGATAATTAGATGACCATGTACATCTGGCTGAAGTTTGGCAAAAGATTAAAATCAGGAAAGATATAAGTTTAAATACGAAATCGTATTTATTCCAAAATAATTCCTAAATATATACCAACTGATACCTCTCGAGTGCGCACTTTTATCACAGTTTGCCATCGTGTGCACATGGAGCACACACCGCACATCGTGTAACGCTTTGAACGATCCCACAACTGTACATCGATATTAATAGCATGTGTTCTGGAGATGAGTTAAATTCATTAAGCCCCAAATATCCTTGAGGTAAGGATTTTTTGTTCACCAACACAAAATTTACCAGAAGATTATATACATGTACTAGCTAATGTTTCTGTTCATTATAAAGATCCCCCCCCTTATTTTGGATAAATAGAGGTTCATAAGCATTAGCTGTTAAATATCAAATAGCACTCGAGCCATAAGATGACAGTGATTTCATGATGACCTTTATTTCTACTAAGCAAAGAACATTAAAGCGTTGATCTATGGACTGTAAATGACTTATATTTTTTAATGGAACGTGAAGCAACATTTACTCGTCAGTACAAATAAGCGACATTTTACAGTGTAGCAAAACACTTGTATTCGACTTAAAAGAATGCTTCATTTGTAAATCAGTTTGTTTTTAAAATTAAAATAGAAACATAGTCATTTTAAGCAAGCAATGTGAATTACGTCCAAATATGACGCTGCCATGAGTTTATTTGTCTACATTTATGAAAGACCTAGGCCCGTATTCATGAAACCGTTCTCATGCTCAAGCAGGGATTCTGTGCTCAAACCCACTTTCTTGTAACTCGATTAAATCTTGTCAAACAATCAAAACGTCAAATGTAAACATTGAAAACAGTTTTTGGCTTTAAGTCTCTTCAATGTTTTTCCAAATCATTGAAAAAATAAGATTTGTTTATGAATTTATAACTAAAACAAGAAATTCGGCTTTAGCACAAATTCCATACTTGAGCATGAGAACGGTTTCATGAATACGGGCTCAGTTGTTTTGAGCATCAGCATTGAACGGTGTTTAGTGACTAACCTAACAAAATATTTCAATTTTGTTATTTTTTTACCATTCCTGCATACCTGTTGATTGATTTGCTATTGGATCACTGTCTCGCCATTCTTTTGTATTTGGTAAAAAAACATATGGCTTAAACATAATTTCTCCTACAGTCAAATTAAAAAACCACGCCAAACGATGAGTGCTTGATAGTAGTCATATTACCTTTAGTGACGTTTCCGTTTGTTGAATGTGTCGTCCGTGTCAACGACGCAGATGCAGAGGAGATGTTTTCCGTAGATGTCGATTCCTTTATAATAATAATAATAGAAGATATTTGTAAAGCATTATTTTAATTTATGGAAAAAATCTTTATAACAAAGACCTTAAACCAACACACTGATATGAAAGACGTGTTTGTATTTAAAGTGATGCATACTAATAAAAAGACAAAAATATGTTATGACATTAGCTAGCTTACTCCGATTTTAATTGAGTTGTTATTATTTGAAAATCCCAAATTATCTATCATGTATATAGATGAAAGTCTTTCATACAGAAAAAATCATATATTTTCAAATTATATATATATCAAGTCAACATTTCCAGTCAAGATGAATTGTAAACCCTTTCTGATGGACATAAACTATATCTTTTTCCGTTATCGTGCATTTTTACACAAACATAATTATGTAGAAATCAACAGAAGAGGATGTTTCAATAAAGTTCCTTTTGTATCGTTACCCCCGAAATTCTCAAACTGCTGGATAATGAAATTGCAACAAGTAATGCGATTTTGAAATATTAACAAGCAGATCCTAAAAGAGACCCGAATGCGCTGACTAATGACACCAAATTTGAGTATTGGCCCTTTCAGACAGGATTTATACGAGTAAATGCATGTGTAAATAAACTAAAAACCAAAAATATATAACGAACTGTATACTACCGACAATTTAAGCGGAGTATTGAACATTTGAATAATTTCACACATACCATTTGTGAACAGGACATGTGCTGTAACTATCTATTTGAGGAGTATCTTTTGCTTAAAATCAAACGATTGGATCCCGGCCTAACTATATTATATTAAAACACCTGTAACACGTTTATACTTTTTGAATCGAATACAGAAACACGTATCATGCATGTATATTGAATGATAATAATGACCCCCAAAACAGGGAAACCAGTAAATTTCTTCAAAAACTAACATATCGCAGCCTCCCAAAACACACACGCATACACTCACTATACGCATGCATCGTGCACACAGGGGATGCCTTCCTTAAATAACCATAGCTGTTGATAGGACGTTAAACAATACTAAACCAAACCGAACCAAATAATCATATTATCGAAATCTGGGAAGTGATGATAATGTATCAACATGTTATCATATACTTACGCTGGTATTAGAAGGCTCCGAATTCACACGCAGAGAACGGTTCCCTAATTCTTTGCCAAGAAAAGAAAAGTTTGTAGTTGCGACAAAGTCATAAAGGCTTTGAAGTGTCGTGTTGGTATTATTCAATCGACCTTTCATCGCTGTTTCGAAGACTATACAGCCTACAAAATATATATGATGACATGTTTATACATAAACAGTACGTTTTTGTTATTGTTATATCAAGTGTATAACGTAAAAAAAAGTAAGTAAGTATATTAAATGTTCATCAATATTTTTACTTAGTACCTTAAATATAACCCAATTACCAATTTAACTATTGCTACATCGTTGTAAACATGTGTGTTTCCCGTTGTTATCTCTAATTGGTTTTTAAGTACACGCAACATGGTTGCTGTGTCATCGCTATCATTGAATATGTCACAATATAAATTTTATGGGTGAAGGACAAGCATGTTTTCGTGACTTGAGAACAAATGTGATACCTTAATTTGATCATGTTAACCAGAAAACAAACATAATGAAAGATACGATACATTATTACTTTGTTAAAATCATTGCTGCTGCAAAGTTGTTTTTATCTTCGTAATTTAGAAATTTTTTGAATTATTTAAACAACAATATAAGGATACAAACTTCTGAAGGGATCAGATTATTGCTTCGACACAGTAAATACTGCATATGAGAACGAAATTTAGCGCAATTTCCAAATACCTTTTTTCACTTTTACCCTATCAAAATATACATCAGGATATCGTCGTGCAAGAATGTTGACGATTGCGGCTCCGAACTGTTTATCATTAGCTCCAACAATCTCTGTATAATTGTCATTGAATATCAGCGATATATTTGTGACGATAGTTGTATTGTCTCGATATAGTTCAAGCTGGTTTTCTGTTATGACTTCAACTCGAAAGTCGCCAGACAGGTCATACTCATCCGGAAATGACCTTACATAGAACGTCAGAAAGTAGACACCGATCTGATCGAAGGCAAGGTTATTAAAAACGGCTTTTCCAGTAGTAGGGTTAAATGTTGTGTTTCTCAACCCTGTCACATTTACGTGTGTTTCCGAACTTATGTCAACTGATGCAGTCCATGTGTGACCCTACAAAATATAAGAAAGTCGTAACTATGCATATCTCTTTGATAAACACAAGGCCAAGATTAGTATTTAAATTTAAAACAGGAACTTGGCATACATCAGAGCGAAATGTAAAAAGTGTATAGTAATGGACCATCAGTGGTAAAGTCAAGTTTGATTTGGTCTGTGTTTTTGTGTTCAACAGCTTAACAGCTAAGGTCATCTAAGAAGTTGTACCTTTATATGTGTTGTTTAAGCTTGCTTTTGTGTATATTTTTGTGCTGAACTTAGGACACTTACACAACTCAATCCAACAAAGAAACTAAAAAGTAAAAAGCAAAACTCTGCAAAAGTAAGATCAAAGCGAAAAGGCAGGATAGTAATAGAACAATTATTTACAACATTAAATCGTATGATATAGACCAATTTCCCGTAAATAATGTTTTACAAAGTGAACCGTACAGAACAATGTTTTCATGTCAGAGCCATTACAATACTTGTTTCGAATCTTGCAACACTTGATCAACATAAGATACACCAAATAAACCTCCATATATATGAACCGTAATATTCAATTCAACAATTGAATTCGTGGAAAGAATATCCCCCGCTTTCAGGAAATGTTTAAGATGAAATGTTATTGTTGAGTTTCTTGAATCATGATATGCTAGTAGGGAGATTTAGGAGTAGACAAAACAGAAAGAAAAAGTTTCTTAGAAATAGGACGTGTTCATTTTGTGTCTTTGGGTAACTATTGAAATAAAAGGTTGAGATACATGGTATTGGGACGTATCGTCAAATATAAATGCATGGTATGTATAAGAGACTACTCACAAGAGGTAAGTAACTATGGAAATTTCATTAGAGAATTTCTGGAAAACAACAATATCATTGGATACCATATATAGACTTGACTGATTGATATGCTGAGCTTCGCTAGTATGGAAAAAACCCCAGGTGCAGTTATTTTTCCTCATACATTTTATATTTACAAATCAATTACAGATGAGAACTTCAGGGTCTCTGAAAGCAATCTTAGTCTTTAACCTGTTAATATGTACATGCACACCACATTTTGTTTAAATAAGACCATAATTAACACACTTATTGCATTGAGACCAATACACCAATCAAAATGTATAAGAGAGATTTATTATGCGTGAATATGCAAGGATCACATTGACCCGGAATCAGACCATTACTAGCGTAGTTATTGCATGGAAACTGAAACGTGACAGACGGACCTTTCAAAATAGATATCCGCCGATTTCCTTCGAAAAGCGGGGGATAAATATACGGAATTATTTTTCAATGTTATCAGTTTTAAACATCTCCTTATTACTACAGTATATATATAAGATATTTCATTTAAAAACATCTATATTTTACATAAACCAATACATTTCATAATAATTACCCTCCAAGAAATATTGCTGATTCCATGTTGTGTGGCATCATCCATCAGCTCAATCCGGATTTCGGTGTCATTGTTTATAATGATTATGTCGACTGATACACTGATTCTTAGACTGATGTTGATTCTACTGATTGAAAAGTTATCTGACCAAGAACTCAAAAGGATTTTATTCTCTGGATAAGTCTTGTTAAATTGTATAGAGAAGTTTTCTCCGTACTGCGATAACGCGAGATCGGTGAAGTTGGCCCATCCACCAATGATATCCAATGTTGTAATACCCTGTAACTGGGCAGGTTGGTTCACGCCTGGTTGGAGATATGCTGTGATTCGCCAAGGATCGCTAATGCTGCCTAATTTTTTCATCGGTTCATCCTTCAAGGCAAAGGAAACACGATCAAATGCTTTAAATTATATTATTATGAAAGTATATCAATACAAAAAAAATCGTTGAAACGATAAATATTTGACAATCGAAATTGTATCAAATATTTTAGATGGTATAATAACCAAGGGAACTAGCTCAACTGTCGTACATTTCAACTTTCAATCCACATGCGATATTAAAACAGAGATTATATTAATCACGTTCCCTATCGCTGCGCACGTTACAGTTATAAACATTCCATACCGTTGATTGATTTACTTCGATACATACAGATAGTTTATTGCAAATTTTTCATAACATTCAACTTCGTCTACAAAAAGTTTGAATCCAAAAAAAGTTAGTTACCTGAACGTCAAAAATGTGCAAGCAAGGTTGGTTAGAAAATGGCACAGTTTCATAAGACGGAACCAGTTGTACAGACATATTCATACGCTTTGGAACAGTGATTTTCCCGGAAGTGTCAGAGCGTGGTGCGTCCAGTCCATTGTCAACAAGAGGTTCACTTACACTAATACGTGTAACAGACACATTTAGGGCCTTGCTGATATCTCCTCCCTGGACCTCATTGATAAACTTTGACGACATGTTTAACAGCGAGTCTGTTGTCAATGTTTCATTTACCGTGCTATTTCCTCCAGCTTCAATAGAGAACCAAACGAAATAAATCAAAAGTAAAGGCTATTTTAAGTTTAAAGTAATAATGAAGAAAACAAGTTGAAGTTGATAGCAAAAAATACTTATTTCACATTTTATGGAAACTCCAATCGATTTACGCATGTTTGTACGAAAAATTAATAAATACTGTTGTTTTGTGTGCATGTTAGTGTGTGTGTGAGGGGCTCAATTTAATAGACAACATTCACTAAATGATGAATCAGGACTTTGAAAAAAGTTCAACTGTATGTGAACAGAAATTTGTTTTCCTTTATGAATTTTTAAATAGCACACATTCGCAAGAAACTAAGTAGATGAAAATACACAGACACTACATATTTCATATCGTCCTAATGCAAGACGTTTCATCACTGAAAAATGTTCCGTTGCAATGTATTTTGTAATGAAAACAAAAAATGTATCGAAATATCACACTCTTAGTCATTATATGATTAAATTTAATTAAATGTTCATCGTATTCTTCCCATGTTAAACGACAAAATACTCCAATTAATTAGAACATGCATCAACCATCATATTAAAACCACACTTTTCTCATTCAAGATTCAGTTAGGGTTAAGTAAATGTATTAATATGAACAAGCAAATTCGTTGAATATATTTTCCTCGCTTTCAGGACATATTGAAGGTAAACATTATTGAGGTTAGGTGGTTTAAACATGTGAGTATCGCACTGTTGAGACATAATGTGTACCTTGCAAAGTCGAAGAAAAGAAACACCTTATCTAATATTGGCTAGAGTTATTAAGCGGAAACTACAGATAATGACAACGCCAAATGGAGTCCGATTAAAGTGGTCATCGAATTCGGTCGAGCCCTCAAGACATTCAACCCTGGTCCCAAGTTTAAAGAAAATGGGTAAACATGTGTTGCAGTTATTGCACGGAATCGCCAGATAACGATGATTTTCATTATTCAAGGGACCATAACTCCGTCAAATAAATTTCGCTAAAAGTGGTCATCGAACGTGGCCGAGCCCGTACGGCATTTAACATTGTTACAATGTTTGACGAAAATCAGTTATCATTTGTTGAAGTTATTGGACGGAAACGATGTGTGCGATGTGTGACAGTCAGTGGACAAAACAAAATATTCATATCCCCCGTTTCGGTGAGAGCGCGTGGTTATAATTTACCTTTATGACAACCTCTTTTAAGTTTGGTTCTTTTTCCTTAGAACAGGTATATTATTTCGGACCAAACAATTGTATATCTTCATCGATCTTTTATTTCTCTGAACTAGAGTAGGGAGATAACGTTCGAGCTTTGTTTCGTTGTATATCGTTTCATTCCAAAAGACTTCACTCTTTAAATAGTTTGAAAACTTCAAAAAATCTCCCTCACAATTTCAGGTTAGACTAGTTAAATTGATATATATATATAATATATAAATAATACTTTTCGCGTTTAATAACTTTCGCAGATCTTTATATTTGGATAGAACCTTTTGGAGGCTATTCCTAAATTATCGACTTTTTCAGTCATATATCGTTTGAATTAAAACACCACAAACAGTGATGACGTCGTACAGTAAAAAAATAAAATAATATGTCAACGACATGTTGTATTTCGTTGTTTGTTCGTTATATCGGAAATATAGAAATATCAAATATGTATGAACCAGATAAGTGTTAACTGCCTATTTAAATTAAATTATGAGGAAAAACAATGGTTATATAATACACCCGGGAAAAGGATGTGCCCTTTTGTACTTAAAGTTATTTTGATTTTTAGAAAAGTTATTGTTTTACCATATGACCACAAGAGTTCCTTGGTACCTCCCTAGCACTTTCACCTATTAACATGTAAACCAGGGGAACATGTATATAATACAATATTATATTAAATTACCGAAAACAATCCTATGAACTTATACAATTTACAAAAAGGTAACAGTTTCATCGATTCATACTTCCGTTGGGCGGGTCACTGATTTCGAATTGGATATTTGTTGCTCCATCTACATCTCGTCTTCGTCTTCCCGACTCCCTCACAACGTTAACAACTCTGATCTTCTCCGGCGGTACATCGAAAAACAAAGCTAAATTATGTATCAACGCCTCTCCGTAGAACTCCTCTGGGGTCAATGCTGGTATTTGAAATGACACAATAAACGACGGGTTTGTTACTATTTTAACAGGACTGTTTCCTCTGATTAACACATACAAAATATTCGAGTCTCTGTCGAAGAAATTTGACCCTGTGACGTCTTCTGAGTTTACGTTAGGAATAAATTCTCCTTTCGTTGATGGTCGGTCAACGATATATTTCCCATGATCCATTCTAGCATTCTTTGCTAACACTGGATCATTCCCTACGTACACATCTCTACGGTTGGACTGGGAATACCATATACCAAGCGTAATGACCTCGTTATCGTCGGAGTTCAAAAGGAAGAGTCGTAAAGTCTGAGGACTTGTAGTTGAGAAGTATAGAGAGTACGACTTTCCTGCAAGAACAGAAATCAGCTTCATATTATTATTCATATCAACCACAAAGAACAGCCGATGTAGCAGTGTGCAGGTGACGAAATATATTGATTTAATAACACCAGAGCTATAAATAATATCTTTGGAATCGCAAATTAGAAAATATTTACAGCGATAGAAAAGTAATACATGTCCACCATATCTTCAATATTTTCCTGGATACAAACCTGACGCCACTATAGCCATGAATGTAGAAAGGCGTTTTCGACAGTTGCCTAGCCTACAGCCACTGTGGTCCTGAGGCCCATTTATTAAGTCCAAATACCCGTCACCGAGAATGGCGACAGGTGACAGACGCCGGGTCTCTGTGTCCGCGTCTAGACTCTCTATTATCAGCATTTCGTAGTTGAGGTCATGACACTCGTAGGCTTGCCATGCTTCCCGGATTTGACACTTGTCATTCCGTATTATTCCTTATGTAAAAAGTGATGAGACAGTTTTAATACCACAAATAACAATAAATGTTATGTATTTTTCAAAAAAATATACATGATTTTACAAGTTGTATCGTTTTGCATTGAATGTATTCGTTGATTCGTGTTCGACGTCATACCTTTGTGTGGTGCGATATCACTAACGTTGATACGTTCTCCTGTTAGGTTGGTCAGCATCTCCTTTGGTATCCTGTGATCACCTAGACCCCTTCTCGGATCACCGTTCCACTCCCATTCCGACTGCGATAGGACAGCGCCCTTTGTTCCAAGAAAGGAACCGTCTTCGTCTCTTATCAGTGCTTTTTTCTGTCCATCACAGTCCATGTCAACGCAGTCACTCGGATTCACTTTGCTGTTGTTAATATATGCATCATTAGGTAAGCAGGAAAAATATGATTTCACAAACATGCGCGACAATATTTTGTTTAGAAAGAATATTTTCTGTTACAGGACTGCAAATATAACAAAACATCTCGGAATATTTATTATATTAAATGATATTTCATGTTATTTGATCAAGATAAGTTTTTATTCTTGACTTTTGGTCCGAAAACCGTTCAAATGAGGACAGGATATTGCGTAATGCGTTTATCATGTCTTTATTCTTTGCTCATTGATTACATTTTTAAAATATTAATAAAACAATCTTTAAACAGCAAGTAGAAATGTACTAGTAAATGAAATAAACAGATTCTGTTCGTCTTTAAGCACATCGCTTGGCATATGTCGAATATGAAAATTATACTGGAAGGTCAGCCGGAAAATATCTCCACATTGATCAGCATGTCTCGCAAACCTGAACAGTTACAATGTAATGATATAAAATTTGATAAAACATACTCGATGTTCGGTCGATGAATAAAGAAGTAGCTATCGTTTTCTGAGTTATACTTGGTGATTTCTCTAGTCACCACAGGGTGTTGTCCATCATCGTTAGCCTTGTCTGTAGTCAGCATGACGTCCTTAGTACCGCATACCGTCTTAAAATGGGCAAATGTTACACCTGTCAGCACAAAATACAAAGTTACCCAAAAACGTATAAAGTGCACCTTTGTTTTTGCTTATACATATAAAACATTTCGAGAGACTTCGTCATTTAAAAAGTCAGTTTGCCGATATTACCACAATAAAATGGTAGTTGCTATTACCTGCTTAACGTTCAGCATTAAAGGGAATGGCAACAACTGGTTTACCCGTTTTCAGTATAATGTCGCCGGGCAGATTAATGCCACAAGGATATTATAATTATAATTATATATTAATAAACAACTCCAGCATGCCCTGCCTCCTGCACACACACACACACACACACACGAAAACACGTATATACAATGCACATGGAAGCACGTCCTAAAATTACCTTAGCTGTTGATAGGACGTTAACCTAAATATTCCAACCCTAATCGGATAACAGTATGTTTGTTATTTAACGCCGAATCAATGAAACCCTGTTTTTACGAGTTTATCTAATATAATAAAATCATTAATTATCATTGACAGTATACCTGAAAATTCCTTGTACTATATTTAAAGAATTAAAAAAATCAGTAGACTGAAACCGAATACATGAGCATCGATGCATTTGAATAATAAAGCGTACATTATGAAACATGACAACAGAGGGGTTTATATTGGTCATGTGTAACTTGTGCCTATCCTTTCGCTTTTGTCAATATAAACCTTTAAACAAGAGGCCCATGGGCCTTAAGGGTCACCTGATATATTTATACAGAGAGTTGATTTTGTTTTTAACACGAACAGAAATATCATTCAAAGTGACAAAAACAATAAAACCATNAGTGACAAAAAACAATAAAACCATCTTATTCAATATCTAGCATACACATTTAAGACTAAAAAGGATTTGGAACTAGCACCTCTGATTCTAAACAGGGAAAATGAAGAAATTTTAGCACACTGACTCCTTTGGGCCCCTCCCTACAGCCATTGGGGGTAGGGCTGGCTCAACATTTTCATAGTATCTAACTGTCAACTCAGGGTTATAATTCCAATCAAGTTATTCACATGTAATATTAAAAGTATCATTTGCCATTATAAACCATAATAAATTTTGCCCTCTTCCCGAGGGGGTAAACGTGAGACCCTAGGGTCATAAACCTTAAGACCCTTCCATCTATGAAGAGTGTTTGATTCTACCATATCTGGTCTTTGGGAAGAGGATTTTAGAAATTTCTGACAATTCAACCCTTTTTGGCCCCACCCATCAGCCCCGGGGGGCAGTAAGGGCTCATATGGCATACCATCAAACTGCTATCCAATACTGATAAGAGCGCAGCTCTTTTCCGGTAGCATGTGTACGAACAATTGAAGTCATGATAACGTCGAAATACTATGCTTCCAAAATCCTTCGTCACGGAAGTAGCTAGTATAGAGTTACCGCGGTCCTATTTTTATAATGCTGTTTAGCTTTGCTACACATTCTCAAAAATATCTCTTTATTTGATAATTTTTTTCTATGTTATGTTAATTCCTTACATAAAAAAATGTCTTCTTTCAAATTTTTAGTCTTTTCTTCTCTCCACCCAAACCGGAAGCCTATAGTAACTACCAAACCAAGACGGAAATCCGGATATGTTTAGGCTATTGTGATTCTCTTTTTACATGATTTAGAGGGATCAGGCAAAGTATATAATGTCGGAAAATAAAATTGGAATTTTATCACCAATTTACTTAACTTTTATAATAACAGATAATAACAGTAACATTTGATAAAAAATACATCTTCAAATATGAAGTCCCTCTACTAGGCCTCACTCTTTCCGCAACATTACGGTGAGGCCATATACGGGGCAATTAAATGCAACATTACCAAATGCATTTGTGTTTTCTCTTGAACTGCATAATTCATTCGAATGCTTTTCTTTACTTATTATTAATTTTACATTTATCGCTATAAAACGAATAAATAGATAATATTTTATACAATGTTATTTAGAAAATAAAATTGAAAACAACCGGCATTTAGACGCTTCTCTCATTTTAGGCAATGCCTGTTTTCAAAATGAATGATTTTGCCCAGCAACAGATTCAAGTATGGTATAAAAAAAAACAATTACACGTACATTTTGTATGTATTAAAATGGGTAATGTTATGATTCAAACATTATAGTATACTATCGAAACAAATGAACGAGCTGCGCTCTCTCCAGGCCATGCCTGAGTCATATTAATGCTAACCCAAATTGAATTACTTCCAATGGAAATTTAACAAATGTTGGTCCAAAATGTGATTTCCCTATATAAACTATAGTAAAGTTTACCCCCTCCCCAGGGGTAAACGTAAGACCCCAGGATAATGAAATTCACAATTTTGGCAAAGCACCTTAAGACCCTTCCATCTATGAAGAGTATTTGATTCTACCATATCTGGGTATTGAGAAGAAGATTTTTGAAATTTCAGTCATTTCGACCCTTTTTGGCCCAACCCATCAGCCCCTGGGGGTCAGTCAGGGCTCATATGTGCATACTGTCAAACTGCTACCTTAAACTGATAATGCTAACCGAAATTGAATTACTCCCAATGGAAATTAAACAAATGTNGGCACTAAAAATCGAACAAAATTTACAGCAAATTACACACTTAATAAACTCACCCAGACAAAACCAGACTTGAAAAAAAATAAAAATTATACATATTACATCTATATATATTGCTCAACCCACGCATGAAACTTTTGAAACTTCTGCCACCTTAATATCCAACCAGCAGGCCCCGATGCATTCACCTTTCTATTAAATCTTCGGCCCAAAAGGGAAAAACCCACAATCTATTTTTGATTTGGTTCCGTGGTCCCTTAAGACCCTTCCATCTATGAAGAGTATTTGATTTTATCATATCTTGGTCTTGAGAAGAAGATTTTATTTTTTTTAGTCAATTTGACACTTTTTGGCCGCGTCCATTAGACCCCTGGGGGCTGGGGACCAAACCGGCAACTATTTTTGGCCTTTGGCCATGGAAGGTTTCTGCAAAATTTCATTGAAATTGGTTCAGGGGTTTTGAAAAGAAGTCGAAAATGTAAATTGTTTACGGACGCACGACCGACGACGAACGACGACGGACAAAAGGCGATCGCAATAGGTCACTTGAGACTTTGTCTCAGGTGACCTAAAAACAAGAGACCCAGAGGGCCTGTATCGCTCACCTGGATATCGAAGCAATTATGGCAAACTATTCTCCAAATGAAATCCAAGGGAATAGGCCAGACCCCAATGCCAATCCTTGTAGCAATCTGTATTAGATTTGTCATGCCCATCCATTTTATGTATGGTTATGGGGTGGGGATCTTAACTGTTTCCAAGCTGTGAATCAGAAACAAGGTCTCTAGGGTTGTGGCCAGACCCCAGGATCTATTATAATATGATGACTGCATTCGTCTCTTTATGCCCAGCATTTGTATATATAGTTTTGGGTTGGGGATCATTACCATTTAAATGTTATGACCCAGGGGATAAGTTTGCAAGTGTGGGGCAGACCCTGGGGTCAATTCTAATATCTTGACTGCATTCGTCTCTTTATGCCCCGTATTTGTATATATATATTTAGGGTGGGGAACATAACCATTTAAAAGTTATGAACCAGGGGTTACGTCTCCATGACCCCAAAGCCTTCCTCGAAGGGTATGTGCATTCATTTCTTTATATTCAGCAATTGTATATATGGTTATGGGCTGGGGATCTCAACTGTTTCAAAGATATAAAACAAAAACTTAGTTCATGGGGGTGGAGAAAGACCCAATGGCCTCTTTTTTTACATCATGCTTGTGATTATCTCTTAATTCCCAGCGATGCTGTAAATGGTTATGGAGTGGGGATCTCAACTGTTTCAAAGATAAAATCCAGAAACTTAGTCCTTAGGGGTGGGGAAAACATCAGGGCCTATTTTTACATCATTATTGTGTTTATCCCTTGGTGCCAAGCATTACTATATATGGTTATGGAGTGTGGATCTTAACTGTTTCAAAGATACAACGATACATAGCATACACTATTGACTCTACCCTACCACTTGACTCCAGAAGTTTTGAAGAAGAAAATAAAATGTATAAATAAAAACAAGTACACAATATTGACCCCGCCCTACCTCTTGACTCCTTGACCCCAGGGCCATACATTTCATAAATTCAAATGAGGGCTAGTTGATGATTATATTCAAATGTGCCATTACTCTCTACTACTTGTAGTAGCAGAGAAGAATATTTCTAAAGATAACTCCATTTTTTACCTATTTTGCCCCGCCCCTCATGCGTCTGTGGCGTAGCAACATAAATTTCATCAATTCAGATCCCAATATCTTAGTAATGTTTCATGTCAAGTTTGGTCAAAAGTGGCCCAGTAGATTAAAATGTAAAAAGTTGACGGAGGACAGACGACAGACGCTGCGTCGTCCATCAGGCCAGGTGAGCTAAACACTTAGTTAATTAAGCATATTTCCAAGAGGTAAACACATTTCTATTCCCATATAGTCTACAAGAATGCCATTAATGGTTGCAATTTCATCTCATTGATTCCTAATATTTCAATCCTACCTAGGATGACGCTGACGTTTCGTGGAGCAGGGTAAGCATATGACAATTGACAATGTAATTCATAAAAATGCTTACTCTGAACATTCGTCACTCCCATGACTGCAGGGTAAGTCCCTATTCCAATCAAGGAGGAACCAGGAGCCCCATTGCTTCCCTGCATGAAAGAAGCAAACGTCAAACCAACGTGACTTCTTTTAGTTTGGCTCATTTCCCCAGAAGCTCTAACATGGTCTGTGCTGCAGTTATACGAGGATGTCGTTCCGATGATTAGGCTGTTCTTAATCGTACAATGTTTCGGTGTGTATAGATGAGACACTGCGCTTGGTCCAATTACTTGTGCATAAATCCCGAGAGTGTTTTCTGCTAGAACGGTGTCCGTAATATCTACAGACAATTTATTGTTGTAATAGATTCCTATATCTCGACATTCCCAGATATAATAGTTCGATATTTGATAACATGAGCCTTGAACGTTATCCCCAGGAAAAACGGCCAAGCCTATAGATGAACTGTGGGCTTCATTTCCAGATGGACCGGATGTTAGTCCACATTCTACACCGGGAACATGAAAAGCTACTCCATCAGTACCGCTGACAGAATTATCTGTGAGTGTCAATTCTCGGGACCCCATTCCACTTATAGCTCCACTATAGGAACTGCTGGCTGCTACTAGTATGACGAGGTTACGTTGAATAGTTGTCCTATATGATTGCGTTTCGATCGCTGAAAATGTAACAGAAATTTGTCAATTCGCATGAGAGTAGATTACTATGACAAACTTAATCAATTTGTTATTACATTTAACACTATGTACATAATATGATAATATGTTGTTAGATTACAGGTTTTCAGTAATGTTGACAGGGCTATAGACAGTAATGTAGAGTGACAGATAATTACCATATCAACTGACTACTTTATTACCAACATACCCAGTCTCCTGCATACACCCACGCACGCACACATGCATACACTACACACTGGAGTCAAGTCTTTAAATGACCTCAGCTGTTAATAGGATGTTAAACAAAATTAAACCAAACCAAACCCAGATAAAACTTGTGTAACACTGAAATATGTGTACAATGATAAATATCTCTGTATGGTGTAACATACCTAATGAGACGGAGTGGTGGATTATATTTTCCGCCAGCAGCAGGCCATTGGTTCCGTGTACACCTATCGCTGGCGAGAAGCCGTTGTGGAATGAACACTTCCTTACAGAAGAAGGTGTGCTGTCTGTCACGGTCTTGGCGTTTTTATACTCGAGGGAAAATCGATAATTTGTAAATGATCTTACATCTACCTGCCCGGTGTTGATAAATTCAACATTACTAAAGCGGGCAAAACCTGAAATGAAATGTAAACGAAATGCGTCGTTATGTTGCTTTTTATTGTTTTTTACTTTTAAAATTAATCCCACATGATTAAGGAAGGTCATTAATTGCATAAAACTAGTGATGATCAAAATTATGATTGATATTTCCCCAGATTTTACATTTCCCCTATATATTTAGGGTGACATCATACTATTGTTAAAAAAACTAAACGTTCCGTTAAACTGTCTCCTTATTCAAATATGTCTTGCCTATTTTCTTGTCTCACATATCTGTTTAGATAGACAGTTTAGTCGTGTGACATACATGGTAAAACACATGCTTAAATTTAATATATGTTTAGCAATGCTATAATATTTATTGTGGACATTAATCGTGCAACAGCTCACCAAAAGGTGACAACACTGCAGAGAAAGACTAGGCCAGGGGGAAATTAATGGGAGATCGAAAGCTTTCAGGAAAAGAGGAGAGACGACGAATTATTGTATATTCTAACTCTACCAACTCTCAAAGTATCATTAACGGAATACAGTGGGCGATTATAGAAAATATTAGTTGCGTTGCATGATCATACTACTTGAATCATTATTTTATTATATATAATAACTTACCAGCGTTATATTTATTGTTATACTTAGTCGCCCCCACCAAAATCCGTCCACCATAACGCTCTACGTACAAGGCATCGTCACCCTCGCCAAGTACTCGGATATTTCTGGTGAGAAGGCCTACTTCCGCCGCTATGCTCACTCCTTGACCATTTATAGTTTCATTGTGAGCTGTAACATGAGTAAACAAGAATACAAGATATCATACTCAATGTTTAAATGTGTAAACAAGTTTACAACTAATGGACCAATAGGGCTTCACGTCCGTGAAAAATATGATAATGAGTTACTCAAAAGCCAACTCACTCAAATATTAAGGAAACAATAAAGATTTACACACCAATAGGTTAGGGATTATCGGATTTCTTGGGAGCTGGTATTGATTTATAATCAGACCAAGAAAATGAAATGTAGAAGAGGAATTGGTATACTGTTATTAGAGCACTGCAGAAACAATTTCGCTTGTGCTTTTAAAATGTGTATAAGTACCAATATGTCTGAATTGCAAAGAAGCATTCAATGTCAATGTCAATCCTTCCTCTGACACGTCTGTGATCCTAAACGTTTCCGTTTCCCAGATGTCGTAACTAGTTGGGGCGATGACGATTTCTTCATCGACTCCCCAGGTCACGCTATCAACTAGAGTAATCGTGGTATCCCCGGGGTTTCCTGTTGTTGTCAATTTCGTCCAAGCAACACCGACATCATTACCATGTACTTCTAAACCTCCGTATACGCCTACAGTGTAAAACATATAAAAAAATCATGCAACAAAGTTGCATACAGTTGAGAAATGTATGCAGGTATACAGAACAGTTGATTTCATTTTGGCTTACAAAAATATAACAAACGCATGTGAATCTAATCAAGTCAATGTGATAGTATCATTCTATGAACATTTAAACATATCTGGTCTAACTTTCCATTATAATTTAGAATTGTTTTTACCCAACGTTTTAGCGTTTATTGGAATCTGTGTGAATGGGAGATATTCCTCTGCGTCCAAGTGTTCAGGTCGGCGACCTCTAAGTACGATGTCAAGTTGTCCAAGGAAAGGCTCACTTGGTGAACCAATCAGAAGTCTCCCTCCAATAATGAGTATGTCTGTAGCACTCAGAGTAAAGTTTCTATAGGAATCGTTAACCGGACCATAATCGAACTCCAACACGCCGTAGATAACGAGTTTATCTAGTCTCGGTATCATCGTGTCGGCAATCATCGTGGTACCTGTAGACACAGAGAAAGGTATGCAAATGAAGTTGTTCATTTGGATTTCTTCTGATTATTCATCTGCAACATTACCATAAACTCATAATTCCGTCTTTGCATATTGCAGAGTTATCTTCTCTTGGGAGCAGGTATTGATTGTTACGTCACTTGTTTGTGAGAGTAATGTCATCATTTTTTGAGAAAACGACGTAATTTTCTCGCACAACCCAATGACGTAACAATCAATACCTTCTCCCAAGAGAAGATAACTCTGCAATATGCAAAGACGGAATAGAGAGAGAAAAAAACATTTTCATAAACTGAACTATTTATAAAATTTACAGTATTTGGAATAATCTTGTCTGTGTAAGTCAGTCCTTCCCCCGAGATCGATTTAACTTTTCGTCAGGTGAAATTCACAAAATCATATGTCAAAGTTTAGTATTAATGCATTATGAAATGTTTATACATTCTCGATACATAACAATCTCATTTATTCATTTAGAGGGCGACCTTTTGTATCAAACTTTGAAAATCAAACACAAAAAGAACAAACGCATCGAATAAATAGCATGCATGTCTGTTTTAAATTAATGGAATCACAAATGTGCATTAGGTCGGAGAACCATAAATAATGTTCACTGATAATTAAAACTTCACTTTATTCATACATATAAGGAATAATATTGTTATATGTAGGCCCGCTATACATGTATTTCAAAAGTAAAGTTGGTATTGAAAACTCGTATACAAAATAGAACAAAAATAATATGGATTACTTGTATTTGCTATCGTTTCCGTTGGTTGACGATTTAACATGACAGAATGTTATGCTAATTAATATCTCGTTTATAGCAGATAATGGACTGATAGTGGTGTTTGTAGCCCTCTTCACTCCGTCTTGCACAATCATCTCGGATGTATTTTTTTTCAAATTTGGGAATATCCCAACGCTTGGAAGTCAGTTTGCATACACCTATCACAGTTATCTATTTATAGATATATGTATATTTATATACATGCGGAAAAGAACTGCATACATGTCGAGTTCTTTATACGGGGGTAATAGTCCAAGAGTGTAAGCAATAAATACAAATTACAATAATGATGGAATACCATACCAAGACCCGTAACAGTTGGCGTTTACAAATATACATAAATATATATACAATCTGATATCACAATCATACAACCTTCTCTGATAGTGACGTCATCCCCATCCACTGGGAGTGTGTTGTTTGGCCATGACGTAGGAGCAGACCAGTATACGTAGGTCAGTGTCACAATCGGTGGGGTCGTTGGTGGTAGTGTCGGTGGAGTAACACATCCCTTGAAGAAGCACTTTTTGACTAATAAATAGAAACTCGTATCCTCTATACCCCGATCCTCCTGGTAATCTCTTCGTCTATAAGATACTAAAAACACAACAGTATCGGTTGTTAGTTTTAAAACAAATTTGTGCTTGTTTTCTTTTATAACTAGACCTGTCGTCTATTTGTTAGCTATTACCAATGACCTCGGGATTTTGTCACAGTGTTGCTTGCATCAATGTTACATTTACTCAAAGGTATGTGTATACGAAATACCTACCATTCCTGCGATTAATAACCATTTCAGTAAAATGATGCATCATTGACCTTTGACCTCATGACATTGGCAGTTTGTCACAATGTAGCCTGCATAATTAGATACGATACTCTAATATGTAATGTATATGTTTATACAAAGTATCTACCATTTCCGAGAAAATTTGCCATTTCAATGACATAATTAATTCGTGATTTTGACCTTTGACCCCATGACATTGGAATTGAACCAAAGACCTCGGACGTTCGTCAGTAGCTTTCATGAATCTCTACAATATCCCAATGTATGCGTGTATACAAAATATCTAACGTTTCCCTTCTAAGCGTTCAGCATGAAGGAGAGTATCAACCCGTAATTCACCCGTTGTCAGTATAATGTGACCAGGCGGAATGCAATGTTTGGTGCCTTCGGCATGGCATTTCAGTAATATAGCACTATAAAGTCGGCATCTGATCTGCGCTTTCACAAGGACGCAAGTCCACCAACATACCATGTCTTCTGCATAAACAGATGCAAGCACGCATACAATACACACATGAAAGACACGTTCTTAAATGGCCTTTTCCTAGATAATTAGCCATTTAAGTAACGTAAATCATTCGTGACCTTTCACCTCGGAAGCTGTCAGTAGGGTAACGGCCCATCAACACAGGACCGGTCACTTGGGCCACAAATGGTCGAAAAAACCAAAATGCAAATTAAAAAAATACAAACAAACTTAATGGTTAAAAGACAAATGTCCATTTGAATATTGAAAGTGGCTATGATGACTCAAATGTCATTAAAAAGACCAACAGATTTCAGCTAGCCTAAGATTGAAGAGACAGTTATGTTTTCGAAAAGAGATTTAAGACACGTAATATTATAGAAATTGTCTCGAGTTGAATTAAAGTCGACACAATCTAGTAAAAAGTGTTTTACTGAAAATGGTTCCTGACACGCTATGCATTGAGGCTAAACATCACATTTAAGGAAATAACAATGGGTCATGTCTGAATGACCCATCCGAAGACAGGCAAGGACAACGCCGTCTCGGCGCCTCTCTCTGAAGCTAGGATACCAATCACCGATTTTAGGTTTAATAAAAAATAATTTGTTATCTACGCATTAATTCCAATTAGTTTGCCACTATGACCTTATGTTGTAATAAGAGGTTTAAAATTTGTAAAATTAAGTCGAAATTCTTCAGGTGGTAGTAATAGTGCTGCTTTTGCAGCACGATCTGCTTTTTCATTAGTATAAACAAAATACCTACAGTTTCAGACAAAATAAGCCATTTCAGTAAAGTAATTCATCTGTGACCTTTGACGCCCCAATACCTCGGTTGTACGTTTTGTCAGTAGAGTAGCTTTCATTAATCCCTACAATACTGCAATGTAGACGTGTTTCCAGTAACGTAAAATACCGTTTTAAGAAGGCAAGAGCCATTACTCTGGTAAATATTAAAGAACCATAATGGCGTTCGGAGATACACAAATTCATTTGAGGTATAACAAATCTGCAAAAGGTTCATTAAAATCCATGCATAAGCCTAGAAGGGGTATGAGGTACGATATGTTGTCTACAGACAGACGAACAGACGGACGGACACACATACTGAATCCAGTTTACCCCCTAAGTTTGTTGCGCGGGTAAAATAAACCCACGTTACTCTTAAGCCGGTGCAATAACAATGTTTCAACTGAAATAAATAGGACGAACAAATAACACTTTGTATATAGTACATTGTATATATTGAGCATGCGTGCATGTACGTGTTTATGTAATATGATAACTTTAAACTTATTGCTCGAGGACTTGGCTTCATGGAGAACAAGTACGTAACAAAAATGACCAAACACCTACCTAAGTACGTGAGCATGCCGGACGTCTCGTTGTACTGCCAATCGCCGTCATAATGTGTCTCTGGGTCAAGTGTCTCGTTTGTTGGAGGGATAATATGAGAACGCATCTGAAACTCGTCTGGTTCTCCTGTCAACGCCTGGCTTATGATCACATAATCCCCGTACTAATATAAATAAAACAGTATAGTCTAACACTGGTTAAATAATACTGTGAAAGCGATATACATAGCGCAAATTAAACTAAATTAAAATTAAATCTAAGACAAGATCAACATTAAGAACAAACTACTGTGCTTGAATCATTCTTACTTATTTACCTTTACTTTTCTTGTCTTAATAAATCGATTTGATATTCAAACATACCTGCATTCTATAGCTATTAAACTGGTAGCTTAAATTAGTCAGTATATAGCCATTGTCAAATTCCCAGATGTATGAAGCGCCAGACACAAAGTTCGTCATCCAACCACTGGACGGATCTATAGCACGGCTACGGTAATGGTGTCGTGTTGATCCGTATTCGTTTGTTAAATTGAGAGACGTTCTCGGCAAACCGTACCAGTAGGGATTTATAGCGAATCGGATAAAGTTTACGTCTGCAGGACAAGTACATAATGGGATACTTGACGAGTTTGAAAACAAAGTACAGTTTGATGGTAGATTTCCGGTACATGGTAACACTTTACATGACGGGGCTCCACACAGCGACCCGTCCATGTCTTCGTACACCGATTCCCAGATCCAGTCGTTCCTTACGCGTGAATCAACATTCGTAAATGTCAGATTCTGAGTTCTGTACATGTATCCACCACAGAGAGACTCACACTGTTCTGGAATCCTAGTGATAGTCAGTGCCGAACAGTCGGGTTGGTCGAAGTTAACAAAACTAACATTACGGATGGTGAATCCAAACTTGTAGGGAGATACAACACCTCAATTCGTGCAACCCTGTGATGGCATACTCGGAACGTAGCCAACGATTAGAGAGTTCTCAACTAATGGTCCATCGTCAGTATACTGATTTCCTTCTACTACCATTTTACCTTCGTATCCAGCGTACACATTGTTTACAGCAATGAAACCCTTGATATGTACGGCTCCTATATCGGCTATCTCGATTCCCTTGCGACAGTTCCACACGTACATATTATTTATTACTGCAGCCTTCCGAGATGATGGTGATGAGTTGAATGAATACATCACACGCGGAGTATATATGGGGTAGATCAATAAGCCGTACCATCCTAAGGAATGTGCAGTGTTGTTGTTGAATTCACCGAGAGGGGTATATTGCGGTCTATACCTGCCATTTAAAGAGGACGTTGCGATATTTTCCAAATAAAACCAGTATCCAAAATGTGTTCCACCAGCAGCAACGTTGTGACGAAAAGTGTTGTTTGGATTTGTGATCCAAAACGTTGCTGCTGAGATATCGTCGTTCAATAGTTGTGAGCTTCCTTTCACCAACACGCCAAGGTTGTATTGAAATAGATTCCCAGTCTCAGTTCCATCTTCCAAATATATTGCCGCACCGTTTACGTTGTAAATCACATTTCTCTCCACAAGAAGGTTGTGTGTATCACGGATGTTGATAGCTCGATTAAACGTGTCGTAAATTCCACATCCACGAACATACGACTTAGACATGTCACCAGTCATATGGAAGTTGATAGGATGCCGACCAAGACGGAAGGCTTGTCCGACGTGGACGAACTCAACAAACTCTACGCGACTTGTTGTTAAATGTTTGGTTGGATCTGTTGTATGAATTATCACATGCGCACCAAATTGATCACTTCCCATTTCCTGTCCATATCGGCCCTGTGCGCATTTCTGCAAAGCTAAGTTTCCTGTAATGCAATTGTGGTGTAAATTTCATAAATAATATAAAAAAACACACTTGCGTGAATGTGTTAAGCAAAGTGCAATAAAAGACGGCCTTTCGCAGTTTAACGATTCGTATTTTTGACAAATGAATCATTTCAAACAAAATATGAAGGAACAACATTTCTTCAACACTTACATAAAATTTCAACAAAACATACAACATATGGTATTATCTTTTCTATGACATACATGATAACATACCCGAATCAAAATCATCTGGACACGATTCTACGTTCATAATCCACTGGGGATCGCTGCGCCCTCTCACAACCACGTTACGGGTTAGCAGGCCAACTTCCGCGCTGAAATCAAGATCCCAGCCAGCCACTAGTTCAGAGAGCCCGAGATGAGCGTTGTTTAGTGGGCTGGTGAGTGTGATTGTTTTGTTGTCCACAGCAACCGATAATATAGTCAACTTCTCGCTCTCCGAATAAGAATGAATGCCTCCTGTTGTTGATATTATAATTATGTCACCTTTCCGCCAATTGACTTCGTGTTGCAGAATTATTGTCGTGTTCCCTACATCGACAGATTGTGCCAATTTCGTCCATGTGACGGTTGTACGTTGTCCTGTGTAAAAGTTAACACCACTTTAAACCAATGAAGTTGGTTTGGTTGGTTATGTTTTGTTTAACCATCTATTAACAGATATAATTATAATTTACCCGTGTAATGATATAATGCTGATAAAATGTCACTAACGTTTGATTATAGCCCAATCACAGATAAAATATTTCTTCATTTTGATGTTCAATTATATTTGTCGAGTATGATAAGAACACGTTGAACAGTTAAATTGTGTCCAGACGAAGTAGAAATGTAACAGTTTATCACTGAGTAACTTGCCATGTCGTAAAAAGTGAAGGCCCCAAATGAACTGAAGCCCAATACTTTTGACGACTGGACAATAATGAAGATAATAAAATAAAAAAAAATTAAATTAGGTAAATGACATTCATATGTAGAAAGAAGCAAATAATGATAGATCTGATTTTGACATTCACATATTAATTTAATATACAGGCAAATATTATATTCAATCATAAACAGATTGTATACACAGTAACAAAGATATTAAAAGTATACGTATGTTAACGTCAATACTTTACTTCGTTATATCCACACGTCACTTGTTGGTTCGGGAAAAAATACTGCAATACGTGGAACCCCTATATTATTTTTCGTTCCTCCTCCTTCCTCTAATCATTAACATTAAATGCAACATGTTTAGACGACTCTTTGTTAAGTATCTCTACCTGCATCGTCATGACCGCTGATGCTCTTGTTGCAATAATATTACTGTAGATATTACGCGCAGAAATTAACGGAATTGTTCCATTGATGAAATACTGATATAAATAGGAGGGAGGAGACAAAAGAGGAAATCTATAAAAAATAACATTTATTAGTGTCTTTATTTAAATGTTCAAAAAGTGAGGCCAGCACTTCCATATTGTACAAGCAGATGGGTGTATCAAACGGCATTACCTGTTACTTACACGTTAACGGGTACATATTTTGTATCGTTAGACAACTGTGAAGAAATTGTGATATTTACATATTCCCGGTAATCGCAATGAGTAGTAATTGGATATCTAAGCCATGTTGTCTATGTTTCATACATCGAATAGATCAGAATAATATCACCAATAGAATAGTGTATACCATGTATATTCGACTGATGTTAAAACCACTAAAGCATTTAGTTTTTCATTTTAATTTCGATTGCAAGATGTGAAGTTCTTTTATTTTGAATAAATAATATAAATGAAAAAAAATATCCGATATTTTTTCTAGTTTGTAAAATCGTCTTCAAGTCGTCGGTGTTCTATCATGATCATACCGTGTAGGTCCAGTGTGCCCTCCCGAACAGCGAGCGACTTTGTTCCATATACCGGTAGCTCCTTGGATCGATGGTGACCATGTAATGTTATAATAGCCTTGTGTTTAAATGGTTCAGCTTCTGTACCAACCTTTAACAAACATTTGATTTATTATTCATTGAAACTATCCTATATATGGTGTTTGAAGGTCCCGAAGTTATCTCTTTCTGCCAGTCTCTGTCGCTCTTTAATAAATCACTCCCAATCTATTTCTTTATACAAACACTCCCAATATATCTCTATAAAAACACTCACAGGCTATCTCTTTATACAAACACTCCTAGTCTATCTCTTTATACAAACACTCCCATTATCTCTGTATAAAAACACTCCTAGTCTATTTCTTTATGAAAACAAACACCACAATAAAAGCAACAAAACGTAACAAAATTGGAAGTTTTTCCCTGTATTAATTTACAAGTTTTTTTAACATGAAATACAAATTTTCTCAAATAAAGTGATACCTGTAGTAGACCACCATCTGTTATCAGTATGTTTTCTGCCTGCAGTTCCACATTTGCTTCATCAAATACAAGCTCTCCTCCTGCAATATGAGTATGTTTCCCTTATTTGCAAGGCATATTGTGTAAACATTTGTCTATTGTAAAACATTATCTGCATGTTATTTTTGAGACTTTTAAACATATTTGAACAGGAAAATTACATCAATACATTCGATTTATTGAACGAAAAGTTGCCATATTGGGTCTTACCTTGTATAACCAGCATCTTGAGGACCGGTGTATTGGTATCAAACAAAATTGTCTGACCCTTTTGGATGACCACGATGTCTCCAGCCTTGGGCAGACCAAGTGCCTGTCCTCCCCATGTATACACAGAAGACCACACGTCGACAAAGTGGAATCTCGCATTGTTCTATTAGAAGGAAAATACATTTACGTATGGATACTACTTTATGTATTACGATCTTGATTGCATAAGGTATGTTAAACTGTTAACTTCAATGTGCTATTAGTAAATTGTCCCTTATGTTCGAAATATTGTTTTTTTTATTAAAAAGGTTACAGTTAAGTATATATTTTATGTTATTTATGTTGATAAAAAAAAATCTACCTGTTTGCAATTATTTGTGTAATGTAAGAAATGTTGAAGCAAGATCCGAAGATCCAATACTGTTTTTTATCCTGTATGTATGTAATTTGTGTATATAAGGAAGTAGTATAAATGAGACGGCATTTTGCTTTGACAGGGTGAATTAAATGCACAAATCTTAATCTAATTTTGCAAATATGACACAACTTTGACAGAATACATTCTTTTTTATTTGACAAAAATATCACCAGGAAAACAGAGGGCTAGGTGATTTATATGGTTCTAAATGTTTCTGTTTCAAATTATCGATGTTAAATAATTATAGAAGGTAATGCTTACGAATCTGATAAAGTGGAGACTATTTAGTAAGAATCTAGTTTTCTGAGTTATTCATTATAATTAATATGTTTAATTCAGGCATTAACTTTTTTACTCGTAATTGTTACGGATTGTCCGTGTCTTTTATAGAAAAAAAAACGTTTTAGGATCTCTGTAAATACCGCGAAATCACGGGAAATGAGTTGCAAATATTTTTCACTACATCTTAAATAACACTTATTCTGGAATTTACTAGTGACATAGTCCACATCGATTGCAGTCGACGTTGTTCCGAAGTTAAAAGTATATGAAGAATATGTATCAATTTTTGTATCGATATAATTGTATTAAAATGTTATCAACATTCAAATGACAAATTCAATATACTATCTTTAAAGTGAAAGACATTTTAGCTGTACATAAATTATGTCTTAAAATTATTTCTCAGTATATTGTCAGACTACGGTGATAGATTGGAGTGTGTGTGATGTTTTATTATATTTCAACGCTTTGATACCCGAATAAAGAACAAAATGAACCTTTTGTAATGGTGTTTTAGAATTACGGATACATGAAAAAACAAACACTAATACGAGCATAACATGACAATCTTTGTATCATTCAAGTTTTAGGGCTAGGTAATACCTCCTTTGCCTTTCCATTACAGCCTGTCTCCAGTCTGACAGCAGCCCTCTCCGACCTCGAATGAGCCTCTGTTACACACACTACCCGTGTGTTTGTCCATGACGTAATGTTACACAAGGTTCCAGCAATCGTCACTGAAGACGTGCAGCCAAACGTTGTATCTTCTGTTAATCTAAAAATAAAACTTCAAGTAAAACCTGTATTTCCTTCAAACAAAACCTATTTAATACAAGTCGTAACACATTTCTAAAAGATACGTTTTATGACTATTTCGCTACGTGTGGAATATATATATATATATCATTATTAGCTTATTCATAGTATACAACAAACGCGAGGGCCGGCAAGGGAAGCATATCTCCCGAATAAAAACATGTAATTGAATAGCTATTGATGGATTTTGTTCAGAAATAGCAGGAATCTTGTGCATTAATCTGTACAACCTGTGTTACGATGTATTAATGTGGATATGCTATCCATTCTCTGCATATGAAGCACAGCTTTATGATCGGAACAAACACAACAAAGCACATTCCGATCTTAAGCAACAACGACCTTGGCCTCTTGATCAATAGGATTATTTATATCGTTAAGGGCGACCAACATAACAAATTTGAACTTCAGCCTTAATATGATCATTCGTGATCAAGTTGTCATCCGGACAAGTAGATTGTTTTATTTAGCAACGGTGACCTTAACCTCTGGCGAACAATTTCGAAAGTCAGTATTGTTTTTGCATGCACTTGGGCACTCAACACACACACATGTCGTCAGATATATATGCCAATTTGCATGCTTATCCCAAAATGCAAAAATATGCAAAAATCAGCACATAATCATTGGGAATAGGCACAACAATTGCTAGAACAATGGCATGGGTTAATTCTTATGACTAAAACAGATGATTTCCTTAAGACTTGGAGACTTAAAATTACCAGCAAATAAAACTATATATAATCCATTAATCATTTGAGTGTTGTTGTTGTGGCAAGTATCCTTTTTAAGTAAGAAAACAGATCAGGACCTTGAACTTACTTCAGCAACAGGTGCTCAGCACATATTATTTGAAACATATGATATACAATATAAACTGTTTATATCTTACTAATACTTGTAGCATATAAAGGTTGTCCTTCACTGTTTTATTCACCTAAGCTAGAGAGTAATTCAGTTATAAAGTTGGAGTGTGTCGAGAAGCCATAACTCAGAATAATACAAAAAGGAATGTTACTTGTGTAGTGAATATCATTTTATGTAAGTGTACTTAAAAAAAGATTTATTTTTTTTTGTTGTTGTTTAGGCTCATTTTGAAAGCAGCAAACTACATTTGTCATTTACCCCTTTTTTCTCCCTAAAAACCCACTTTTTGTCGAATGTTTACCCTAGTTTTCGCACATATATTCCAATAGGATATCTTTGAAAAATTACGGAGATGAAAATCTGGATAGACCGGGGCCAAAACAAGGGCCTTTTAGAAAATCATCCTTTATAATTGTTACCCGAAATTTGATCCCGATATCGTTATGCGGGTTCCACCTTGGGTGCCTCCACGTTTAGGTGTGACGTCATCAATGACTGGCGTTAAAACTGGATCGTAAGTGTAAGCATCCGCTAGTGTTTCAGTCACGTTGTTAACCGTTACATGAACGCTGCAATTCTTAAGTGAGGAATCTTTAAAATAAGAGCATTGAATGGTATTTAGAAACAACGTGTCATCTTTCCTAAATTTGGTATTAAAAATAACAAATATAAGCTGTAGAAACATGATTAATAGGAGGTATTAAGGACCTCACTCCCTTCGTTATACACATGTATGAACTTAGACAGATCGTTAAAAAACATTATGTGTAATTTGTTTCAATAATTTGATGAGAAATGAAAATATTTGTTGAGTAAATAAACAATCTGTATTTGCATTTTTAACTGCTGAAATTGTTTCTAAAAAAATCGACCAAAATAAGGTGAAAACATTAAAATTTGAATAAAATGATTTTTTGGGTGTTTTTTGTTAATGAGCTTAGATTTCATAAAATTATCTCCTTAGGGTTGAATAACCATGGTGTGTAAAAGTCAAGGGATTCTACTGGTTAATTACGAAAAGGTGCAGCCTCCTTAACATATTTAAATATTCCTTATGACGTAATCAGTGTTATTTAAAAGTTTGTTTACTTTTGTTCGGTTTATTTGATGCTATTTTACTCCAATGTCCTTTTTGGCACTACTAACGTTCAGACATTTAATACATCGTGGCCTTGTATAAAGATTCCATATCGATGAAACTTAATTACCTTATAAATAAATTTATCTCCGATCTTAATGTATACTAAAGTTTCATTACATATACCAAGCAATATTTATTTACCTGGCAAGGATGGCGTATGACAAACATATTGCATAGACTCTGTTGTGTTCCTCTCCGATATGTTGCAGATACGATCACATATAGTAACCATCATGTTATCGTCAAATCCGGTACCGAGTATTGTGACAGTCTGGTCCCCGCCTACACTACCTGTGAAACAGTAAGGGAATAATACGTACTTATTGTCTAACATAGTAGAAGTGCAGTTACTTGTGATTGTTACTGTGTGGTCCCAACCTAAACTTCCTGAGAAACATTATGGTAAAACGAAATCTATAATGTATACCAAATATTTACCTAAGAAAACGGATTGCAATAATTTGCTGCAATACTATTGACAGTTTTAACTAGTCTCGAATCTGATTCTATCAAATAGCAATGTGAAAAGGACAAGATGTTGTCGTCAAAGTTATCATTCTCCAATTAATGTTAATTAATCTTACCCGATCTTGGTGTAATGTCCTTTACCGACATGCTGAACGTAAATGTTGCATCTGCATTTGAATTCCCTAAACCATGCACATTTACGCATATGTTGTATTTTCCCGCGCGGTTCTCCCCGACAGTACAGTTTATTTCCGTTTCATTTACTGCAGTTATTTCACAATTTGTCTCCCCTACAAACACACTTGTATGGTTCAATATTGTTCCTAGATTGTAGCCGGAGATAGTGATGTTTTCCCCACTCGTCCCAGACGAAGGATATACAGTAATTATTCTAGGAGAAGCATCTTCAGAATATGTAAAAGCTTGTTCGGGATATGGGTGTCCATCCGACCGGATAGTAAGCACTGCATTGCCAATAGCGTGGACTTCAGTTGTGCAAACAACGGACGACACGGTTCTGTGTAGCACTAAACATGGCGTTCCGTCGATGTCAATAGTTACGTCAGAATGAAAGCCATTTCCGGTTACAGTGATGTCAGTTCCCCCGTATTTACTTCCTTTGTCGGGCGATATATTCTGTACACTGGCTATACTTGCGACAGTAACAGGTCCATTGATTTCACGAGCTCTACCTTTATGCGATATATGTACCACTACTGTATTGGAACCAAGAGGTAAATTGTTTAATAAACAAGTGATGTTTGAATCTGATACATCAGTAATAGCACAATGGTGGTGTTCTGAAGACGTCATAACCACAGATACACTTGTGTTGTCATCGCCAAAACCTGTACCGACAATTGTGACGCTGGTTGTGTTTTCACCTGTTATTGACTTAGGACTGACATCAGTTACTGTCGGGGTCAGCAAGTCATCGTAAACGAATTGACACGATTTATTGCATTCCGCCCGAATCCTTGTGTTTCCGGCGGCTGGGATAATGACGGATATTTCCCGTTGCCCTCTAGAAGACATTGGTGTAAGGCATATTATTTTTGTGTAAGAACTTGATACAATGTCACAATGATAACCGCCGACATTGACTTCAGATCTGATACTTCCCATCCTTTCTTCAAATCCAGTTCCCGATATTGTTAGTCGTGTATAACCTCCAAGAGATCCGTTGTTTGGAGAAATAATATTTATTACTGGAAACAATGCAAATGTTTTTGAAATTTCTGCTTCCACATTGACATGGGCATAACCAAGATTGTTCACAAGAACGTCTATATATTGCGGCCGACCGATTCTTGGTTTGTTTTCAGGATCAATGCTGCATGCCAGAGATGATACTGAACTGTAAGATGCTTTGCATATATAATCTCCGAACGTTACATTATTTGAGCTACTTTTATCTGAGAACCCGTTACCCGATATAAGTATTTCGTCATTAGTAGTACCGTTCTGTCGACTTATGCTATCGATGACTGGTGTTCTGCATGTCCAGAATGCGAACTGAAATTTTGTGTGATTTGATGAATCCACCGGTAGAGGATCAGAACAGTTATATCTGCCTACCGTTGTATCGCAACATGTCGTGGTATCTAAAATTTAAAAAAATAAATTCGACTGTAATAAAACCAAAACATCCCTCACTGAATGTCTGCTATTTAATAACCATTAACAGTCTAGTAGGGATTGTTTTATTGATTCTGTTCTAATGGTATCCAATACTATTGCAGCAAACAGCAATAATAATCCTGTGATTAACATATTTAAAAATAGACCTCAAGCACATAGGATGAATGACACTTTCGTACAAAACATTTTCCTGAACAAAATTGAACTTATTGTTTTCCCTTTCTTAAAAATTGTTTAAAGAATTACGAGTTTGTTGAGTCAAAACAGGTTTAAAATAGAGTCGACATCGGTTGTATAATATATATGTTTGTTGTAAAATTATCAAAGTAAAATCAGGTAAATTATCAAATCAGCATCAGGTAGACTTTTTCTTTACAAGACCGAAAAAATATTTTGCGCAGCAATTATAATCGTTGAAATACCAGCAATGCATCGATACTGAAAAACATTGTAAGCACAATTAGACAAGAGACATTAAAAGCCCTTAATAACATAAATAAACTAGCTAGGTTATTGGTTTGATTATAATATTAAACAATACATTTGATTACACAACACAAACCTGGTATGGAGGTGCTGTCTGTTACGTTATACGTAGCCTCGAAATGACCATGTGTGACACTGACATCAGCGAGGAAGGACGGACCGTCTACAACTTCGACAGATCCGTAGAACCACGTGATACTGTATTCATCAATTATTCCACTCCAGTAGTAAAATTTGCCGGCCTTACTGAACTCACGGGAATACGATCCTGTATTTCATATACAAATATCATTTTAATTTCAATTCCATTCCCCAGAAACAAAACAATATTTTAAGATTAGAATACAACTTAAACTTGCGTACGATGGACGAACGGTGTGCAATGACAATCGTGTTTTATATAAAAATGAAATGGCTTTAACATTAAAAACGATTTCATTTTTCATTTCCAAACTATAATATATTGATTTTGGAACTGTGGGGTTTTTTTTGGTACATTTATTTAGTTAAAAAATCTGTGTTTTCTTGACACAAATTGATATTTTTCTCATACACACATCGGCACGGAAACATGCAAATATAAAGGTGAACCTAGGAGCCTCGCGTTACCAGGGGTATGACTATCCAGAAATTACATATCTACAATATTACTTACAATCTACCTTATTTACAATCTTCCGGACTTTTTTAAATTCGTGAAATGTATCAACCAATTATATCAAAATTGCACATTTTTGCGGATATAACCGCACAAAGGGAACGAACAATTTCTGAAACGTACGATTATGCGCACCATATGGGGACGATGTCTGTAAGATGTGCGCACTTTGTTTTTGGTGCTTTGTACGGTCACACAATTGTATTAATGACTGTTTAGTTATATGGATGCTATCAGATAGCAAAATAACTCGCAGATACCTGTAGATGAACCAGCACCACTTGTAAACCCTCCAGACTTTCCATATTTTGTAGTCATGTTGTAAGTTTCTTCAACCTTTGGTTTCATTGTCGTGATGTAGAACGGGAAGTCCCAGTCCCAGCGCACGATGTCGCCTACCAGGACCTTTATATGCTGTGGACTCCAGTAGTAGTACTTCCCAAAAGCTTGACACATAAATGAGAATGTAACGTATTTCTTTTCATTTTACATACTAAAATATTGATTACAGGGACATAAAATTGACAAAATGTGAAACGTTGTTTGGTAAAAGAACATCATTGTCGGCACTTGATTATTCTTTGTAAGCTTATCGGGCGGATGTGCCTTATTTTTGTAGTGATTTTTTGTGGGTGTCATAAAACAACTACTCCTCATATAACCCACATATGGAATACACATATAAATAGTTTATAAACTTACATGGATGGTTACCGTGGTTGTTTACTCTATGTATTGTGCGCGTTCTTGTAATCTTGCAAATTATAAAACTACCATTCGTTGTTGTTACGTCACAGTCGTGGTTTCCGACCTTGACTTTGGTCAGCGATGTGAATCCCTGTCCCTCCAGTGTGAGGCTGGTGCCGCCGAACAGAGAACCACTAAGTGGATTGACACTGGTTAGTTCTAAGACGCATGTGATCGAAGGCAGTTTGTTTTTCCTGGAAAAAGTGACAAGGATTACTTTTGGGGTGATTAGGACATGTTATAATATAATGTACATCTATTATTTCAAATAGATTAGAAGTTAAAATAATTCCTGCAGTCATAAGCCTTGTACCATATATAAAAGATCATCTTCATATTTTGTAATTTGCTTCATTGTTGCCTATTGTTGTTCCACGTACAATGTCATGCCTGCTCCGTTGTCTCCCGCTATGACTTTTACGTGATGACTTCCTGGAGAACAGGGAGGTAATTCCGCCGTCACGTAGGTGTTGTTATAGAAGGTAATGTTGATTTCGGTTCTGCCTACCAACAACGTTAGATTGTCACCCATCTGAAAGCCATCACCATCAATGATAAGTGTGTCTCCACCTGAAAATGCATTGTATACAGTAATATGTATTACATAGGTTGTAATACGTTTTACTCCATCTGCAATTTTGTTTTGGGTTCGTATGAACGGAAACAGCGCAAAGTGAAAGTACTGCTAAGTGACATAAGAAATTAAAGATGTCTAAAGTGTTGATTTCGAGGCAGCAATTCAAGTTTGGTTCTTCAACATACAAACACATACACTTGGTTTATAATCATAATGAAAAGCCTGCAGTAAAAGATTTTTGTCTCCACTTAATGATTTCACTAAATAATAAATCTGTCTATCAAAGTATAGACCACGGCCGAAGTGCACTCTGGATAAACCGCGAAAGTAAAGAGATAGAACAATATGTGTGACATTTGCCTGAACAACAAAATAGTATTCTCATAAATGGCGCAATGATGTTTATTTTGTCCTAGTGTGCGACGTCATCAACATATGTTCTCATTTTTCAGTCTATCAAAAACATAGAAATTAATCTTGTGTATACATACGCCAGATCTTCTCTCCACACTATTCGTTACTTGTTGCTTCTATTCCTTTGTTTGAACACCTACTGTTTTAATCATTTTTCTCCGTTTATCTTTTGTTTATGACCATAACTGTGGCAAGGGAGTTTAACTCTTCAACAAAATTAGCAAATGCAAAGAAAATTAAACCTGATACTCCTGGTAAATTGGGCGATATTCCAGTCACTCGAGGCGTCTTTGAATCATCATAGGTAAAATTTGTGTCTGCTGTTAGCTGTAGTTCTCCATTCTGTTCTACTGTGACAGGCACTACTTCGGCAGTACTCTGAAATTGTCGGGTTTATGAGTTAAATGCCAGCAAAAATACTACACCTGAACTATATTTTTTATTAATCGGCAATTTATGTCAGGTAGTAATTTTATCAAAAGATAGAATATATAGCTTTTAAGAAATTAGAGCGTACACCCATATGTTATAGACTTGTTTACGACAGAAGAAAAATGACAATTGTCTTTCAATGCGTTTAATAAAAGTAATGACAACTGTATTTAATATGCAAAGTTATTATAATCGCTTAATGAAATATCTCAAAATATAGTGTCTTATCCCTATTAATGCTAACCTCTTAATTCAGAAGATGGATTAACCATAATGAAATTGTTTAGTTTATCTAGTAAATGGTATTTTGGCTGAAAATACATCTATTATTTCAGGTCCTGTAATTAGTTACTCTAAACTTCAAGAATTACTGGAAGAAATAAAATACCGTGGATGGCACTAAGCAGACAATGTTGGTTGTTGACACAGACTGTACATCGCACGTCTTAGCTCCCAATTTCACGGACGAATTCCTATTGAATCCACTCCCAGTGATAGACAGTTTCACAGAACCTTGATTTTTAAATATATCTGATTTATTCTTTGCGACCACATTTTGTTTAACTTTTATTTTCATTATTAATTTTCTACTTCGACGACAGAAAATATAAGAAATAGAAAACGAATAATATATTGGGGAAAAACTATTGCTACTATGGCTATTTTGTTGCTTTTAACATAGATATAAGGGTAAACTTATAACCCACAGTTGCGCTCCTATTTAACATTTATTCAAAACATGGAATCAAAAACAAATGTTATCAGCATTTCGAGACCAGTATTGTGTGAGTAAGGTCGACTGAAGGACGGGCAACCCAATCTGTATTATGATTTAATCCAAACAATTATAATTTCTATACCTCCCATTCCGCTTCTTGTTGGGTTGACACCGTCGATTTGTGTATTGAAGGAGATTGTGAGATTGCCGTCTCTAGACTTTGCTATTCCGCTTCCTAATACATTTACGACCACAATGTGCTCGCCACTAGGTATGCTGTCAATATCACACGTGATCGTTGAATTAGTTGCCATAGTGACGTTACAAACGACCCCTTTTATCGTCACATTATTGTTATTTGGGATGTCGCTAAATCCGCTGCCAGATATCTGGATCTTCGTATGCGATATACCTGTGACAAAGAAAGAGGATGCATATAAGTTCAATATTTGTAAATGTCATTACCACCAGCAGCAACAGTATATCACCAGCATCAAAACACCAGCAACTTCATCAGAAAAAGAGCAATATCATTGGAACACCAGCAGCAGCATCATAATACAAGCAACATCATCAGAACACCACCAGAAAACGTGTAACTGAGCACAAGCAACAGCACCAGATCACTAACATCACCGCCTCAGCCAACGCTACCATCATTACCAAATGAATTGGAATGTTTAAAAAATGTAAACATGCAAGAGGTTCAATGGACCTGAATCGCTCACCCGGTATTGTTCTTACACTTATAATATTAAAAGTGGAATAAAATACAGTTTCAGGCAAAATACCAGTGTTTGATTCAATAGAATATATTAAAAGATTTAAATATGTGATATATGTTACCGTGAAAGTCAGGCAAGAACATTAAGTTGAACAGAATTTATAGCCTTTCATACAAGCATGCTTCTGGCAAAATATCAATGCCCTGGAGATTTAGATTATTAATAAGTTCAGACTCCTGTGATCTTAGAATTATAATCAAGGTAATTCATTTTAACATAATTGGTAGCCATTCTTCACAGCATGCAAATGGCCAAATATCGACACTCTAGGCATCTTGGATATTAAGAAGAAGTTGTTTAAAGGTTTTAAACATACTCGACCCATCTGACCTTGAATATAAGTCAAGGTCATTTATTTGAACAAACTTGGTAGCTCTTCATCCCAACATGTAACTGACCAAATATCATCACCCTAGCCCTCTTGGTTATTCAAAGAAATTGTTCAAAGGTTTTGACCCCTGTGACATAGGATACAACTTAAGGTCATTCAATTTAACAAACTAGGAAGCCTTTCTTCTCAGTATGTTACTAGCCAAATAGCATCACCCTATGACTCTTGGTTATTCAGAAGAAGTTGTTTAAATGATTTTGATACATTTGATCCCTGTGACCTTGAATATAAGTCAAGGTCATTTATTTGAACAAATTTTGAAGCCGTTCATCCCATCATGCCTTTTGGTTCACGAGAAAAGGTTGTTTTAAGTAAAAAGTTGACGCCGCACCATGGGATAAGCACCTGCCCGACGGACAGGTGAACTTACGAAAGGCTGGCTGGTGTTTTTTTGAACACAAACAGGAACTGAAAACCTAATATTCGACCTTCGAAAACGTGTTTTCTTTGTCAAGCAATGATTGTAAATGACCGGTGTCCCGCCTCTAAACCGCTGCAATAACTCGCCACGGCACAGTGTGCTGAATCAGTAATGTCAGCTGTCGAAAATCATAGCGACATTTCGCCAAGTAGCATTATAGTACTGCAGGCAGGCCGGGGAAACAGTTAACATGTTTACCTTTCCGCCCCTGAAGTTTTAAACTCCTGTTTGTGTTATAACTAAGCCTTTATTATTAATACCAAACTGATAAATATTTTTGCTTTTCCTGAATACCTGAAATGAATATTTAGAATGCATGTACTGGCGCATATTTGACCAAGTAAATAAATATTATCATGCATTGTGTCAGGCTTATACTTAAGAAAACCTACTCTTCATCTCACCTGAATTTATGTGAATTTAATAGAATCTTTAATCAGTAAGTATAATTGTAGTTACCTTGTACACGCGTCACGTTGTCCAAGACAGGTGTTTTACTAGGCAACCACTCGAACGTACAGCTTCCGGTGCATTTTGATGCAACGTCATTTATACTAACAGTGACCTGGAATGTGACAAGGAAATGACAACTCAAGTAGGTCATTTTCTATAAATGAAGTATATCTAACATCCATAACTAGGGAACCACGTTGCTTCAATGTTGATGCATGTTTCCTTAATAAATACTGGCATTTTACCCGCATTCATGTAACCATTTCTTAACCGATAAAAGTCTTATACAATATCACGTAATCGTTATACATTGACAACGACGTTATTGTGACCTACTGGGGTCATGTGCACTTTAAGTCATGTGACCGAAAATAAGCAACATCAACAAAAATCAATATCAAAGTTGGCCAAATGCACAATTTAATTGGCATTATTGTAATTCTGTTCTTATATTACTGAACACAGCTTAGTCTAAACCATGCACAAAAGCACCATACTTCTTAACAATTTCTTTGTTTTGCTCCAAAAATATTGAAAAAATAAACTGTCCAAACGAAGTAAAGGCAATAATTCCGTGAAAATGCGTTAATTTGTCGTTCTTGCATTTATTCTCTGAATTTGAAATTATGTTTCATAATTGTTTACCTAGTTTATAAGGGTGCACTGGGGATAGACTCTGATTTGTTTGCTTCCCGAGTCAGTTGAATTCGTCTATGTTATATAATTATATGTATATGGCAACGCATTATGCAGAACAAATCTGCAATTATATTCTTCACTGATTTGTTTCAGAATGCATGGAAAAGTAACAGCGACTTTTAAAACCTCTAATAAGAGTCAATGCGTTACAACATGAGCACAAAGAAAGAACTGTTTATATGGTATACCGCTCTCAAGATTTTAAGACCCTGTCATGCCCAGGGGTGAAGGAAAGGGAAATTCCATCAGATTGTTTCCAAATTTAGTAAAACCCGAGGCTTTTGCCAAATTAAAAAATACCGAGGGTGGAATTTCCCTATCCTTCACCCTTTGGAATGAAAGAGTATTTTTGATCTCATTCAAACTAGTAGAATGAGCTCAGAAACCATCAAAATGCGTTTGGACTGGCTACAATTTTAAAATATCAAATTTTCCACTTTGCTTTTTAGACGAAAACGAAAACGTCGTTTAAGTAACATAAATGTGCAGTGTACACAGTGAGAGTTTCAAATTGTCAGAAAAAAATGGCTTCATTTAAGAAGTTATTATTGCTAATATCCAATAACGAACGCATTTTCGCGAATGTATCATACAATTTCCATGTTTATGTCATATCAAGATGATAAAAATATGGAAACGATATCTGATTTGAAACGCTCATCAATCGAGTAATGTCAACATCGTGACGACATCTATTTAGACATTTGTTGTAAAGATTATTTTCATGAACATTTTTGTTTGTTAAGGATTTAACGTCCTTGCAACATTCATGGTCAACTTGTGTAATATTAACCTCTAAACGTATTGCCGACTTAAAGGAAACCTTTAATTTCTTAGTGTTCGTTATGACACTGTCATCAACATACCTGCGGAGTTTCGTGTGCCGTCATTAGCATTTCTCCATACAGAGGGTCTATGGTGTATTGTCCGTTTTGTATTGTCCAGACGTGTGACTGAACATTGTCACCAGAGACAGTACTCGAATTCATCTGAAAGTCAATAGAACCATAATAACAATTTCGACACGTTTGGTATGTGACTTTAGATACTTGTAGTAAAGTTATTGTATATGCCATTCTGATCAAATGTGTATAATACCCTTGCATTTCACATCTCACCAAATGCCTGGGAGATAAATTGAACACTTTTCAAAAATTGCTAGCGATACATGTAGCAAATATTCAACAAGAAGTTTTATAGAACATCAGTGTTGTAGCTGGTGTTCTATCGACGATTGTGGATTATATCTACATTTACTGAGTGAAAACGTATATTTTACTAAAATTCAGTATATACTCAGCACGAATACCATTATTTTGTTCATCGTATTTTTTAATTCGCAAATCCGATAAAAAGTATAAAGGCTAAACATATCGAACATGTATATCCTTTGATACGTTTTTGCATAACATTTACAATGTTTCATGTTAACTTCAACCCCTTACATAATTTGGTAAGAAATCAAGTGATTAGTTTGTTTGTAGGTTTAACGTCCTTGCAACAGCCAGGGTCATATAAGGAAGGATACCTAAATAGACACCACCTAAAAAAGAAAGTTGATGGTAAAGAAAGAAGATAGGAAAGATAGGAAAAATATCCCAAGTGCTGCAATTGGGGCATGCGATTCATTTTGGTCCCTGACGATATTCATGCAGTGGGACGCAGCAGGTATATTCTTGATTGCTTCAATGTCCCCTAAATAGCAGACAATGAAGATAGAGCAATACCCGGGCCTTTCAGTGAGAGGTTAACATGTACAGTACCACGATCTTGACCGACAACACAGTGTCATGAGTCTGATTTCAAACATAACAAATTCTTACAAAATACATCTCAAGCAAGAATTATTTATAAGTATTACAATATATAAATCTTACGAAATGTTTCTGTTCACATTTGGATTTGAATAACAGGAAACCGGTTAAAAAGGGTATGCAGGCACTTAAGAGAATTTCAAAGCGATATCAAAAGGTTTAAACATAGATATATAATTCATTTAACGTTTAATGCAATTTAACGATGGTTGCGAAGTTGTTCAGAAGAGGCTTTCGATGCAGAATAAATGCCTGTCTATAAGAAGTATCAAATTATATATCATGGGTTGGTTTAATTTTGTTTAACGCTCTATTAACAGCTAATGGCACTTAAGGAAGTACCTTAAAGTGTATGCGTGCTTGCGTGTGGGTATGCAGGAGACAGGGTATGTTTGTGTGCTTGCCTCCTTGTGATAGTGCGGATCTGATGCCGATTTGATAGTGCTATCTCACTGAAATACCTTGCCGAAGCCACCCAGCACAGCATCCGCCCAGTAACATTATACTGACAACGGGTGAACCAGTTGTTGCCATTCCCCTAAAAGCTGGACCTTAAGCAGGGAATAACAACTACCATTTTTAAGGACTTTGGTATACCCCAGCATGGGGACAGAACCCATTGCCTTCGTCACCAGGGCGAACGCTCAACCATCAAGCCAAGAGTGAGGTGTTGCCAAGCAAGGCGCTAGAAAATAAAAGGGAGTAAGAAGTAGGAAGAAAAATAAACATCCCAAATATTGCAATGGGCGCAGCAGATTTATTTTGGTTGTTTTTATGTCCCCAAATAGTGGACACCAAAGCATATTCCCAATTCGGTTTCGCCTCCTATAAATACATGAAGTGGGTTACAGCAGGTTATTTTTTTTCCCGATTTCCCACCTGCATTAGTGATATATCATGGGGAATTGTGTTTCAATATTAGAGTAAAAAACTTGCTTTACTAAATTGTCCCTTTAACACAATTCAGCACAGCTATTCTCTAAGAGCAGCTGGATTCCGACATTTCATATTGAAATTGAATTAACTACATCTTTCTTTTTTAAACGGCATTGTTTTGAAAATGAACGGTTTACAATAAATTATTCAATACTTTGATCAAAGTCATCATGATTGAAGTTTAAACTATTCATAGTCATAACTGGAGCCAGTGACCATGGATAATGGGATTTTTCATGGTGTCGAATACTTATTCAAACGAATCAATACTTTATATACAATAAAACGTTTTGAAATCTGAAAATTGCAAAACACACAATTGCTGTTACTTTAGTATTATCAAAACGGCAGAGAGATTTCATTAAATTTTACAGAAAAAAAAGAAGTGTCCGTTAAACGAAAATTTCCTGCAGCAACCCCGCTGTTTACTACCAATATTCTGATAATTCAATGGTTTGGTCGTCAGCTTCAGTATCGTAGTATAATGTCTGATTAAGCATCTTTGTGAAGAGCTGTGAATATTGACAATTTGATGTATTATCTAAAAGGAAATATGTAATGTTGTCCTATTTTTTTACACTAAATAATAGCCGAATCATACTTGTTTGTGTGATAATGATGCATCACTTCTCGAATACTACTTATTTATAATACTTTGCATTAAAATGTCCCATCTTTGGAAATTTTAAATAAGTTATGTTACAAAGGGAATTAGATTTAACATAAATGCGAATCTTTTTAGTTTTCAGGTTACTTAAAAAGTAGTATTAATATATAATGGAACCGCTTACCTGAATTTGCTCCAGATTTCCGGGATATGTGTCAAAGCGGAACCTCCAATACATATTGAACACACCGTCACCGGTGGAAGTTACAAGAACGAGACCAATATCTGTGAATCCCTCTATGATTGCAGTTATGTCATTGCGTCCGATTCCTACTGGTATGGCTGAAAAGGAACATGGATAATCATATCGCTTAAAATATTTATTATATTCTACGTTATACTGAAAATTTGATATTCAAATTTTAGATATAATGCCAATATAACAGTATGCATTCAATTGTCACATTGTTTTTACTTGAAATCTCGCCAAATTTTCAGCTACATGTTATTGGTAAGTATCTCCTGCGGGGTATTTTTAACATAGTTCATCACTTCTTCCGAACCAAAATCTGAATATATGTTTCACCTTTTTTCCTTTTTTATTATATTATCCAATAATTAACATATGTTATCGCCTTTCAAACATCCATCTATACTCAAACAACTACACATACAAAAATCTGACATGCGATGCCTGTCTTATAAATGTACATACAATGCACTCCTTCCTGACACTTATTACTCTGAAAAGTTTAATTTGTTCGGAAAGGTTTTGTAACATCATTTAATCAAATAGGACGTTTAAGTCGGCAAATACAAAACTATCCAACGAGCATATTTATATACCTAACCCGCTATTACAATGTATGCTCCCATATTAAGTGTCTGAACAACCAGTGGTGAATTAAGGAAGGATGTACTTCAGACACACTTAATTGATTGGAACTATATCATTCTGTAAATAAAATAGTATACCAAAATGAATAACACTCTACCAATACAGCTGATTTGACCTTCTCGGGCCAAACAGATGGAAATACAAGTAGCAGCATCCGGAGCATCGCAAGTGATAAGCTTCCTGAGATACATAAGTCAAGCAAGTTTGGATAATGAGGGATAATCAATAGCTTGGAAACCGAGCTCAACCATTCTACTTAACCTAAGAGTAGACACAGAATTTAGAGTATGACTTATCGTAGCCCTGTTAAATGGACACGATTATGATCAGCAATAAACTATCTTCGTTCGTTAGAAATTGTTATAATTATTAATTGATACGTACACGTGATTGTCTGACCTCTCAGAGTCAGATCAAACGTTCCACTCAAAGGAGTTGACGCTGCGACAGTTCTTATTACCGATACGGTTGTGTTTGGTGGCACCTGTCATAACAAGAACAAATTGATTGTATCATATTTAAGCCAAAGTGATGGCCTTTATATGTGAACGGTTGGTACTATACATAGTCGTTATGACAATATATACAAAAAATCTCATCAATTTCATTTCGCCGCTTATTTTCAAAACATGTTCAAAAAGCATACAGTATACTTTGGTGAATTCCAAAAATAATTTAGTTATTTTTCACAAAGCAATCAACAATCGATAGACAAGCAATCGGACGATTTTTTTTAAAAAGTAGGTAGATTACCTGAGTATCGTCGACGGTAAATATTGGAAATCCGTGTCCTCCTAGAACCGTTGTGAGGGATATGTCGTACGTATCCCCATGTTTAGCGACATCTACATCAGTTATTTTGTACCCATTGGGAGCGCACACGAGACGTCGTAGGTGTGCATCATCTAGACAGAACACAACTGTATTATCTGACCACTTAAAACCGAAATATTTTGATTCCTTATATTGATATGATCGTTGCTATATTTTAATCTCGTTACCTTGAAATAATGTATGAAATGTTTATATTAACAGCCGGTAAACCCAGCAATCTACGTCGAAATAATAAGACATTTGAAAATGTACACACAGCTGTGAACAATCACCTATATATATCACTGTAGCAACAACATGGATAATTTCAAGACTCCATACTTTGAGGTCATCAAAACGGAGTCATGTCTAACCAATTTCTCACCTGTGTTCTTGGATGTGCATTTAAGTAATACCTTTTAACTAGTATGTACCCGAATGAATCTTTGGTATGACACTCTGATTAAGATAATACATAATATTAAAATTGACGAATTTGACTCCTTTGTCACCAAGTTCAAGGTTTGGTTTGGTTTAATTTTTTTAACGTCCTATTAACAGCTAAGGTCATTTAAGGACGTGCCTCCATGTGTGTAATGTATGTGTGCATGCGTGTGTGTATACTCCTTAATAAAAACACTTATGTCTAATAATTATTCACCTTACCAGGCTTCATTACATGATTTGGTTTGGTTTGTTTTATTTTTGTTTAACGTCCTATTAACAACTAAGTTCACTTTAGGGTGTGCCTCCATGTGTGTTGTGTATGCGTGCTCGTGTGTGTGTATCCATGACATCAGACCCTTCGGTTCTGGAGAAAGCTTGAATAAATTGTACGCATGTGACCTGTGGCCAAGGTCATCCATTCGAACAAGGTTGATTAATATTATACAATTATGGACTGTTGTGCTGGTGAATATGATTTGATATGAACCTGAAAGAGTGATATTAACTGAGGCGAAGACGAGGTAAACATCACTATTTTAGGTTCATATCACATCATATTTACCAGCACAAAAGCCCATAACTGTTTTATTATATGCTTCAACAATGAAATAAAACAAAACAAAACTAAAGGTTTTGATTTATGTACGCGAGCCTCCGTGTAAAATTTAGCAAGGTTTGAATACAACAGTTCATACTTGTAGCTATCGAAGGTATCGTCTAGATCATTTTTCTTCAGATAAGCATGGAGGACATGCACTGCGTGCTCAATGGCCTTTTCTACGTTAACAGCATCTTTATACTCGAATAGTTTTGGTAATTTTTTGATGTAACGGAGGAGAAACGTTCGCCAGCAGCCATCTTCTAATGTCGTCTGACAGATCGCTTTCCAGTCTAGCTGCGCATGCGCTACGATAGGTTCCGGGGAATTTCCATACAGGCTATGTTTAGAAATCGATATTCACCGGATAACCAGTCNGTGCCTCCATGTGTGTAATGTATGTGTGCATGCGTGTGTGTATACTGTTTAATAATAACACTTATGCTAAATAATTCTTCACCTTACCAGGCTTCATTTCATGATTTGGTTTGGTTTGTTTGATTTTTGTTTAATGTCCTATTAACAACTAAGGTCACTTTAGGGCGTGCCTCCATGAGTGTAGTGTATGCGTGCTCGTGTGTGTGTATCCATGACATCAGACTATTCGGTTCTGGAGAAAGCTTGAACAAATTTTACTCATGTGACCTCTGGCCAAGGTCATTCATTCGAACAAGGTTGATGAATATAAGTTGTTAAATACTTTTTGTTTACTTTTGTAAGAAAACATAGTGTTCATTTACTCATGTACCGTAATTGTTGTTTGAAAATAGAAATACAATTAGAAAAAAGAGGAGAAATACACTGTGTAATTCACCTGCTTAATATATAAATAAGAGTGGTTATTTATGTTGATATAATGTCTTTCATAATTGTTATATAATTGTGAAAAGGTTTCATTACATAAAGAACTCACACATTTACTATAAATCGATGATGTTATGCATCTATCAGAACAAAAATGTCTGTCTCACCTGTATCCAACGTTGTAGCGTGCTGCCCGAAGTAAACGTCATCTACAAGAACATCCCCTTTACAACCGATTTGCAATCCGTGCAGAATAATGATGGATGCGTCAGAGATGATTGTTGTTATACTGTCTTGTAAATTGTAACAAGCATAGTTCCATCTGCGAAATAAATATCAATCAAGTCAAAGCAAAGTCTAAACAATAAAATTATTATCGTGTAGGTGTCATTTTTGGTACATACAAAATCATTTTAGGAATATTGAAGAAAAGCATTTTTCCAACATTTCATATGTATTTTTGCATACTTCAAATTATGTCGTACAGTACTATATCAATGTAAATATGTAACTGTACGAGGGTATATGGGTTTTCTTTAGATATGAGATTATGAGATTAATCTTGCAGGATATTGTCGAGTAAACTGGGGGACAAGTTTACTTTTTATAGTAATTCCGTTTTTATGAAATGACTTGTCTCCTGGACATTGCTAATGATTGCTTATACTTGTGAAAGTAGGTAAAAACTTGTTCATTGAATGGTTTTTACACGTGTTGAAAGTTCCTACATACTGATCAGTTTCCGATGAGTTGACGAGATTGTTGAAATAATGGCTAGAGTTTGTCTTTCTGCCATTGCCGTTCGTGTAAGTGAAGTCCATATAAACGTAGTAAATGAAGCCTTTGAATGCCATACAGAACTGTCAAATAATCAATAATGAGCGTTTAATGATACACTTTATCATACAAAAGTAAAACCAATCGCTCACGTGAGCATTAGTTTTGGTAGCAACGCTGGTTACATTTCTCTTTCTGTTTCATGCATCAAATATAGTGAAATAAATTGATGAACATTTTATGTTCGTTTTGCATTCACAAAGACCCCAGTCCGACTTAATGCTGACGATTTTTTTCCTGTTTGAAAACTATCAATATTCAAATATATGTTAAAAAGTTTGATTTACTGTTACTCGTAACATACATATATGGAATGTTTGAAAAATAGATATTTAGGGAATCTTAAAAACGGAATCAATTAACGCGCGAAGATTTCGCCAAAACTTAACAAGCTCACAAAAACATACTTCTACATCATTTTATAGCCATAAAAAAACTTTTTGTAGGGGCATAATACGCGAATCACAATTCTCAATAAACCTTAAAAATAATCGTGTTTGGAAAAAAAAAGTGAAAAAAACTATTTTATATGCTTCTTTACCCTGCACGACTTTTAGTTTTAGGTCCCTAAAACAACTTAAAAAACTAATTGCTCCTGCTGCTGTTCTTCTGTCGCCAAATTATGTTTTCGAATGTTTTCGCGAAAACTGCTTGACGAATATCAATGAAAAATCGTGGGCATCTGTAGGCATGTTTAGATTTTGGAAACGCGTCGCATGAGCCCATCGGGCATCAAAGTTGGTTACCAAGGATGTTTATTCACTGAGAAAAATTGGGCTTTATATTATTTTAATTTCATAAATTGTAATGACGGCTGGTGTTAGAGATGATTATATGACAATATAAGTGTGAACATTGACTTTTTCAACAAAAAATACTCCAGGCAATTTGCTTCTTATTGGTCGAAACATAGAAATAATTCTCTTTCTAATGAAACCTCTGTTTAGCTCTTGAACAAAATGACCGTCAAAAAACATATACCGTCTGATATCAATGACATCTCGTATGTATGTGTTCTATATCACTACCAGTTCTAACGAGACTTCATCGAGATTAGTCGAAAAACAAGGCCTCTGACTGAAAAGATTTCAGGTGTTGCTCTCGAAATTTTGGTATTAAGGTGTATTATGACATTACACACTAGTAAAGCCCTTCAGGCATCTCATACCTATTTATTCAAAGTATATCAATTTGGTTACTAATGAAACTTTCAAATGTATCTTATACAAGAGGCACATGGGCCTTAACGGTCACCTGATATATTTATACAGAGAGTTGATTTTTGTTTTTAACATGAACAGAAATATTTTTCAAAGTGACAAAAAAAATCACCTTATTCAATATCTAGCATACAGATTTAAGACTGAAAAGTATTTAAAACTAGCACCTCTAATTCTAAACAAGGAATGTTCTTAATAAACCCACCCTACAGCCCTTTGGGGTAGGGCTGGCTCAAAATTTTCAAAGTATCAAACTGTCAACTCAGGGTTATAATTCCAATCAAGTTATTAACATGTAATATTCAAAGTTTAATTTGCCATTATAAACCATAATAAATTTTGCCCCCCCCTCCTTCCCCAGGGGTAAACATGAGACCCTAGGGTCATAAAATTCACAATTTTGGTAGAGCAACTAAAAACCCTTCCATCTATGAAGGATTCTACTATATCTTGGTCTTGAGAAGAAGATTTTTGAAATTTCAGTCAATTTGACCCTTTTTGGCCCCACCCATCAGCCCCGGGGGTCAATCAGGGCTGATTTGTGCATACCATCAAACCGATATCCAATACTGATAATGCTAACCCAACTTGAATTACTTCCAATGGAAATTAAACAAATGTTGATCCAAAATGTGTTTTCCCTATATAAACTATAGTAAAGTTTACCCCCTCCCAGGGGTAAACGTAAGACCCCAGGGTCAGGAAATTTGCAAGTTTGGTAAAGCACCGTAAGACCCTTCCATCTATGAAGAGTATTTGATTCTTCCATATCTGGGTCTTGAGAAGAAGATTTTTGAAATTTTAGTCAATTCGACCCTTTTTGGCCCCACCCATCAGCCCCTGGGTGTCAGTCAGGGCTGATATGCGCATACAATCAAACTGCTATCCAATACTGATAATGCTAACCCAAATTGAACTACTTCCGATGGAAATTAAACAAGTGTTGGTCCAAAATGTGATTTCCCTTTATAAACTTTAGGGGGAAACGTGAGACCCCAGGGTCCAGAAATTCACAATTTTAGTAAAGCACCGTAAGACCCTTTCATATGTGAAGAGTATTTGATTCTACCGTATCTGGGTCTTGAGTAGAAGCATTTTGTAATTTTAGTCAATTTGACCCTTTTTTGCCCCGCCCCTCAGGCCCATGGGGGCTGGGGACCAAATTCTCCACTAGTTTCGTTGACCTTTGGCCATGGAAGGTTTCTGCAAAATTTCATTGAAATTAGTTGAGTGGTTTTGGAGAAGAAGTCGAAAATGTATATTGTTTACGGACGCACGACAGATGCCGGACGACGCCGGACAAAAGGCGATCGCAATAGGTCACTTGATACTTTGTCTCAGGTGACCTAATAAAATCATATTCATTTTTACATAGTGAACTAAGAACGGTTTGTTTTTGCATGTAACAAAGACTTAAATATAAAGTGCTGTGTATAGATAAAACGAAGATATGTTAGTATTTACCATTGGATTGATGGAAATATATATATTCGCCTTATAAAGAAGCCATGATGGATTTCGCAATATCCAGTTTCCACAAAAAGCCTGATACTGATTTTTTCGTAAGCCTCTTAAATACCACGGCAGAGACGAATAGTCTTCCATGTTGTGATAGATGATTTTCCTTTTTGGGTCGGTCCAGTAACTTGGACATCGAACCGTAAACAATGTACCAAGAGCTTCTGAAATCTGAAAGGTGAAAATTATACAAAGTTGTTATTTTCAAGAGGCGACAGACGTTTGCCCCTGCGGAACCTTGGGTTTTCTTTTATGTCTTTTATTGATTTGTTTCTCACATTTACACTCGAAATCTACATATTTTTGTTTCCTGCTTCTCTCTGTTCGATAGTGTCTCCCAGGATCTGTATATGACCCAGGCTTTTGCAAGGATGTTAACTCCACATGTTAACAAACACATCTTATCGAAAAAATAAGTATGTTCAAAACTAATCAAATTAACAATCATTTGAAATATAACACACTGATTTAAGGAATTATACTTCCACATACTTTCATTTTTGTTTGTTATAAATAACACTCTTTCAGTTAATAATAACCCGAAACAAACAGAAGTACAGCTTTAAACACAATCAATTAGCTGTCAGCTGTCCTTATTATATCCCTTACCATTTTCCTGATTTTATTTTGTTTGTAGATTTGCCTGTATTATTTCTGTCTATAAGAAAATATTTGTCTTATTTATGAATACAAATCGTCTTGCCTGTGACTGCAAGTCATATATACAATTTTACATTAAGACACTTATGACTGAATATTTTCCGTTTATATTTTGACCATGTTTTGCATAAATGTATACAAAATGTAAACACCTGTGACCGTTATCTATATTTAATTTTTTACGGTAAGACATCGGATGTTGTTTTATTTATAAGTACAAATTGTTCATACCCGTGATTGTAGTCTCTATATATTTTTAATATAAGATACAATTATTTGGATTATGTTACGGGTTTTTTTCTATAAGATACTACTTGTCAAAGTGTATATACCTGTGACTGTGATCCATTGCTGTCAATCAGAGGCGCGGGTACACCTGCCATCATAAGTCCAACTTTTTTACCGCTGGGCTTCCCGTCCCGTGTCGTATTTATCCTGGCAGTAAATGTTCCAGATAATGTTTTTAACTCCAATTCGGGGAAGTTACCTATAACAGAAATGGTTTTATTATTCACCCCTGCAGTAAAACTTACCAGGTAAAACATTTTATATGGATATTTTAGTTTTATATTGAAAATTGAATCCTATTACGACAAAGCATTTTGAGTAAGTGCAGACTATATAAACCTTCCATGGGTTTTGAAATAAATTATTTGAGATTCCTTCAATCTTTATTTGTCATAATGGATTCTTGTTATCATGATTTTCGGTGCGATACTACAGCTTTTACATACGGCATTTGTACTCTATGTACACAAATATAAAGTAACGGAAAGTGAAAAAGAAAACACGAGGACAATTTTGGAATGGGTTTCGTTTCTTTAATGTTCCCTAATCAGAAGACACTGAAGAAAACAATAAAGAAATTATGATACAACTGTAGCTACTCATATGCTATTACGTTCTGTCTGCAATTAACAAAACGGACTATATTTTATAATAAAGATGACATTCGAATAACTCCACCTTCAGCAGTTCCATGTCTCCATTCAAGTATGGTCCGACTTAACAGTAGTAAAAGGTGAGCTGTAAACAACAGTTACAGTTGTGTGACCGGACAACGCTCACACAATCGCGTGTGTACAACATTTCGATTTAGTAATGGCATGCCCCATTGTGCGCTACTCTCCGCACAAATGCGATTTGATACGAATTGGTTGACCAATATTACGGAATGAAAAAAATATTTAAGGATCGTATAAAATAAGGTACACTGTATACATTTAACTTCTTATCACTATAGTTTAGATTATGTTCAATTGTACAATGCGTGATATACAGTATAATATTGGCCGCTTGACTGTCGAAAATGTGGTCTTGCTCCCAGGTAACAGAACAGGAAAAATAAATTTTGATGAGTTACCGGGGTTATCCTTGACCTGTACCTGACATACATAGCTGATATATGATACCATATGATCTTTATGAAAACATTACTAGCGCTCGTTAAGTATTTGGTAACTGCATTCGTGTCACACCTCGAAGAGTTTAACAATGCCCCCGGGTGAAGAAAGCCACGGTCCAAGTACATGTACAAAGTTGCTATTATCTACCTGTATCTGAGACCGTTTAAATGTGTTGAACTTTTACACATGTCGATTTGGGTCGTTGAAAACACAATTTCTAAATTTCAGGAAATACAGTTAAAAAGAAAAGCTTGTAGGTTTGGTAGGTCAGAACCAGCACCTGAAGCATCGCATGTGATAAGCATCACAAACGCCTATATAGTATTAAGCCATTCCTTAATTAACACCAAAAATATTGTTTTTTCAAAACGTTCATCAAACGTGCGGAAGCAATAATCGTCATGATTGTTATCGTTCGCCCATCGTGAAAAAATTGTGCCATCCCACAACTGTAACTCATTGTTAAGATATCGCCTAAGCGTAACTACGATAAAAAGCACCATACAAGTAATAACATTGTAGTATTGTTCTATTACGAATAAAATCGTCGTATAATAAATGAAAGTATTTTTCCAGATAATTTTAGTATGAATTGAAAGAGCTAACTAGTCTTACATGCCCTATGAGTCTGCGAACAAGCGCCATTTTTTAATCTTTGTTTGATAAATGTCAGTATGAAAAAGTGAACAAATGTTTATGGACACTATACACGTATATACCATTGAATTAATTTCTAACAATATGATTCGTGATATTAATTTCGCGTTTATTAAATGAAACAATTAACAATAACAATAACGTAAATATGTTATATTTCAAAACAATGAAATTTGAAAGTATGACAATACTGTTCTCAGCCAAAGAAAGACAATTCATCAAATACACTACCTCTCTCTGATATGAACGTTATAGTGTATTTGAACCCTTGACCATGAGCAGTCCTGTTAATGGACACGGTCTCCGACACATCAAACACTGGCAGGGATTTCAGTGCATTCGTCATATCAATAGCTGATACTCCAAATAGGATGCTCTCTAAAGTAAAATTAAGATACATGAATTCCAAAGCAATATTTTACTTGTTGGATATGCATTTAGAAAAGGTAACTAAGTAACATTTTCATTTAACAATGCATCGTTTAAAATAACTGGATTTTTTATCATCATGTAGTTTTTAGGTATCGGCAAGAAAAAATATACAACCCTAAAACAGATATTTTTTCATGAACAATATATATTTCAACTTAATAACTTTAATCATTCATATTACATTAAATAATTTTGTAGCCAGCATTCGTTGAGCACAAATAGAAAATAATGACGAGAGAATACCTATGTATCAACTAAACTATAATTAGAAATCAAAATAGATAAAACTTAAGTCCAATATGAACAAAATTAAGCGTCAATGTCTTCTGCTTCATCGACGACACCCGCCATATAGGTCTAAGCCAACTCCAAGTAATATCCAACCTTATATTGAGAACTTAGCAATTAAAGTGACAACTAAATCACAATGCACACTAATGAGCATAATCAAAACAAAATAGTGAAATTAAACTTTATACCCGTATACAATGAGTATAGTCCAAGACGAAACCTTCCATTCTCTGAAAGTCCTCCTGATTCCTCCACGATAATTTCTTGTTCTTCGAAGATGGGCGTTTGGTTGATGACGTTTAATATGGTAATGGCCTGCTGCTCCTTTTGAATAGATGATGTTATACTTATTTCTTGTTCTTCTTGCAGCACGTTCCCAGCCATGTGGTGGTTGACTTTGCTATCTAAATATCGAACCGCCAAATTTATGGCCCGTGAGTTTGTAGTTTGTCTGTACAGCACTTCCATGTAGTAGCTGTAACAGCAAAGTTAACACTGTTTATCATTAACATCAAATAGTGTGTCCCATTCACGTAACAACACCCTCCACTTCGGGACAGGAGGGACCTGAATATTCTGCTGCACCCATCGCTTCCTAACTATTTGATTGTCAAATGCTCGCCTTTTGCCTCAGTAGTGAGGAAGGTTGTGATTTCTGCCTCCTCACCAAAATAAACAAATCTGAAATTTCTGCTCTGTTCTAGACAAAAAAGCTTTAAATGGGTAACCATACTGATTGGTTGGCTCGTTATCAGTATAATACTATGTTGGGTGCCGACATGGAATTTCAGTGATGAAGCACACTTAGTCAGATTCTAATCTGCGTTTTTGCATTGTGGCAAAAACACTTAAATTACCACCACCGCAAGTCACAATATAACACACACGGAACCACATCTTTAAATGACCCCAGCTGTTAATAGGACGCTAATTCATCTGTATCGTCTTGCCATGACCTTATATGTATGGAGGAGAAGCAACTCGGCACACTGTCCAAAATACATTGACCATTTCGTAAATCAAATAAATCAATCATGCTCAATATAAAATAATACCACAGGATCAAACAACATATGCCTGTTCCATGCTACTCTGACATACTTAAATCCTGCTGATGCATTATTGTATCTAAATGTATGAAAATATGAAAATGTAAGAAGAAGAAACCGAATTCGTGCTGTATTCCTCATTAAAGTTGAGGGTTTTATGACAGTTAAACTATTGATTTTGGTAAGAATGGACCCACTTTGAATATATTTCAAACCATAACAAAATAAATTGAAATTGCTTTTTTTTCAAAAGTCGATTTATCTTACACCATTAAACCAAATGTATTTCAATTGGTCATTAATTACCGGCATATTTCACTATTACACAAATTGTAAATAATTGACCATCAAAATCCTGTCTTATATATCTAATTTATTGTGGGGAAACAGTTAGCAAACCAGATAAAAGTGTGCTGATTAATTATGTTTAGCTTTTGCTCACATTTGGCCTAGCTTATGTCATTGTGTAAAATTATTTACCAAAATTCATCAGAATCCGGTCATATCAGTTATAGAGGCAAAAATGTTTCAACAAATGATTATACTGACCTTGTATTTGAGTGTAGTAACATTGTAGCATAGCCGCTATAACTACTTATTTTCAATTGCTACAACAACAAAAAAGCATCTGTCATTATCACATTCGTCATAATACATGAAATAACAAGAGACCCAATGGGCCTGCATCGCTCACCTGGTATTAATCTTGTTACCTTAAAAGAGATCTAAAATAAAACAATAGGCAAAACATCAGTTTTCATAAATTAACGTCATTCAAAAGAACCTATTAAAAGATTTTAAAACCGTTGACCCCTTTGAACTTGAAATCGAGCAAGGTCATAACGTTGAACAAACTTTATAGCCCTTTCATCTCCGAAAGCAACTAGCCAAATAGCACCACTCTAGACTTAACGTTTATCAATATGAGGTAATTGAAAGGTTAATACATATTTGACCAAATGTGACCTTGAAAGAGGGTCAATGTCATTATAATGAAAAAAACTTCAGCCAAGCATGCTACTGGCCAAATATCAACATTCTGGGCCTCAGGGTTATTCAGAATAAGTTGTTTCAAGATGTCAAACATATTTTACCAGTTTGACCTTGACTAGCAGTCAAGGTCATTCATTTGAACAAACTTGGTAGCCCTTTACCATAGCACACTACTGGCCAGATACCATAATCCTGGGCCTTTTTATATTTAAAATATTTGACCACTGTGACTTTGAATATCGGTCAAGGTTTTTCATTTTTACAAACTTGGTAGCCCTGCATCCAAGCATATTACTGGCCAAATTTCAACGTTCTGGGCCTTGTGGTTATTTTTAATCATACTTGACCATTGTGACCTTGTATATAGGTAATTGATTTGAACAGACTTGGTAGCTCTTCATCCTAGCATGGTACTGACCAAATATTTTAAAGTTGTTTAACGGGTTTTTTAAGACAATTTACCCATGTGACCTTGAATATGAGCGGAGGTCATTTATTCGAAAACACTTGGTAGCCCTACATCCAAGCATGGTACTGGCCAAATATCATCATCTTGGGCATTTTGGTTATTCAGAACATGTTGTTTTAAATTTTCAACTTATTTGACCCCACAGGACGGACAGATGGACGACGGACAGACGACGGACGCCGCACCACGGCATAAGCTCACTCGCCATCGGTATAAATATGTCCAGTTCGGAGACGAGAGATGATAACTTCCTCTCTACGATCTTCCGAACACGTTTTAAGTTTCGGTTGTACTTTAAAAGTGTGTTGCTGGTCTCGAGAGACTAGCGTTGCTACCATGAATGATGAATGGCTGTACGAATAATAGGTTTAAAATCTGTATATTTGTTTGTTGGGAGATTTAACGCATTTTTTGCTTCTGTCAACAAATTTGTAACACAGATCATATTTACTTTTAATTAAAATTTGTTTAAATATCTAATCTGATTTTTATTCTTCGCAAGAAGTGATGAATTAAATCACACGAGGGATGATTGTGCTTTAACTTACCATTCCTGCTGGATCTCCATCTCTACTGAGGTAGAATTCGGCGTTTCTCGTTGATGTCAGAATGAATTGATACTCTCCATCAAACGGGGGCAGAAAAAAAACTTTCATTCGGCTGACATAATTACCAGAAGCACTGTTTCCGGGGATGCGTGTTGTTTCAGAAAACTTCATCTGATAATCCGGCAAACTTTCGTTAAAGTTTCTTATCATCTGCAGATGTATTTCACTACCGAATGTTTCGTTCCATGATTCCACAGCAATGCCTCTGTTTCCTAGTTTTATAATATATACAATTTGATAACGTTTTCTAAGACACTTGTTTGTTTGTTTATGAAGTTTGACTTGTAATTGAAAATTGATTCAAACTTGAGGCCCAGGATACTTAATAGCTCACCTCAAGAGGTACAGAATAACTACATGTATATCTTTTTGGATCGGTAAGACACCAAGAACAGGAATTTCCATGTAATATCCCAGGGAGGTAGTCTCCAGGGACTAGTTCGCCCGTTGTCAGTATAATGTGACCGGGTGGGTCGTCCTGCTGGGTGTCTTCAGTGTTTCAGTGAAATAGCACTATAAAGTCAGCATCAGTTCCGCGCTATCTCAAGGAGACAAACACGACCATTTCGCAGCCTCCCAAAACTAACACGCATACACTACACGTAAGCATCTTGCACACATGGGAGGCCGTCCTTAAATGACTGTAGTTGTTGATAGGACGTTAAACAGTACTAATCCAAACCATACCAAACTGGTCAATCTAGGTGGCATGGTTGGTTTTCATCATGCCTATAAATTGTACAATTTGTTATAAGCAAGGAATAAAACCCCTGAATTAACATGGAATATGAAAGCTTCTCTATCAGACCACACCCCTCTGCCCATGGGGAGCCATATCTACTGTTTATATAAATCTGACTTTCACTTGCCAAATAATGCTCTACACTAAATTTGGTAATAATCCCTCAAATCACGTGGTAAGGAGAATGGTTAACAATATTAAGCTCTTCAAGGGGGAAAAAATCATCTATTTCCCGTGTGGGTCCCCGCCTCTCTGCCCCCAGGGGAGGCATATATCCGTTTATACCAACCTGAGGCCCCTTTATCCAAAAATGCTCTAGAACAAATTTGGTTTAAATCCTTCTATTGGTTAAAAACAATATATATATAGGATTTACATATTAACCTCTTATTTGGCCCCGTCCATCTGCTCTAGGGGAAACATCCTGTGTTAAATTCCCTTTGTCCAAAGATGGTCTAGAGAAAATTTGTTTAAAATCCCTTCATCAGTTCAAAAGGAGAAGGATCTTTAATTGTTTCTTCTATTTTCCCTAATAGGGCCCACCCTTCTGCCTTAAAGAAGGGTGTCTACACACCTCATTTCATACAAAATTCATTCTTCCGACCACATTTGTTGTTATCTTTTCCAATCTGTACATATGTTCTGTACACCTGGAGAAAACATATTCCTATATTTTCCCTATTGGGCCCCGTCAGTCTGCCCCCAGAAGGAATTTGGGTCAAAATCCTTTCATTGAGAAGAAGATTTTTGAAGATTTACCTATTTTCCCACTTTTTGGCCCCACCCCTCTGTCCTCAGGGGGCCATACCCTCAGATTATACCAAATCAAGAACCCTTTTGCAAATGATGTCCCGGACCGAATTTGGTCACAATCCACAGAAGCGTTAACGACAAGTAGCCTTTTAAAGGAAAAAGTTGATGGCCGCTGCGCCACGACAGAAGCTTAAACATGTGTAATCGTACAAAATTCGCGCGTACATCCAAATATACACAATAATTTGAATCATACAAATGTCTTAGTATATCCTACTCTTAAGCTATATGGATTATGTGTATGCGAAACAAACAGGCACAATACTATATATTACCGGGATATATCTGTTGGTTAGTATCTGGTTTCCGGACGGTCCGACATATTATAGCTGTGTCATTTAGATGTACCACGTCACAATCTGTACCTGTTAGTAACAAGAAAAGGTATAACGCTCATAAGTAAAATAAACATGAAAAGGGGGTAATCAACATTTTTCAAGTTGTGTCATTACAATGTGATATCAATTTTCAAAGGCTTAGTCATCAGAGGAATACTGTCATATCAACAATTCATTGAGCAAAAATATTTCCACCGACTCGCAAAAGACATTTTAAGCTTTGTTAATGTGAGGTTTACGGAAATAAAATTCTAAGAAATCTTTAATGAAGCATAATCCAATTTTATTATATACACATAGAATATATACTTTAAGCAAACACAGACTGTTGCAGTCGAATGCTTAAGTAAGTTAAAGTATAAAGAGGATTGTAGATTATTGCCTTTTTCGTACTTTCTTTCTCAGAATAGTGTAGACATGGAAGTTAAGTCTATTGACCTTTCATCGACTTTCTATTATTTTATATATGATTTTTTTGACAACTTTTTGCTAGGGCAAATGTGTCAAGAATAGGACTGCTGTATCCAACTACATTTCGCAAATAAGGGTCTCCTGCAGAATTTGCGGTTGTCTTCTGTATATTTTGCGAAAGGGGCATTAGAGAAACAACAATTATCGATCTGCTTGCCATAACAAAATCCTTAAAAATGGAAGTTGTTATTCTCTGCTTAGCATTCAGCATTAACGGGAATGACAAAGACTGGTTCACCCATTCTGTGTTTGGTGCCTTCGGCAATATATATCGGTTAGATAGCAATATACATAAAGTCGCATGAGATCCGCGCTATTATTTGCATCCTTGTGATAGCGCGGATCTGATGCGACTTTATGTATATTGCTATCACAAGGTTGCAAATACACCGCATACCCCGTCCCCAGCACACATATACGCAAGCATTCATACACTTCACATTGAGGCACGTCCTTAAATGACATGAGCTGTTAATAGGACGTTAAACAAAATACAACCAAACCAATCAACGTTGAAACAATATTATAGTCACTGGTGTATTGGTTACCATTATGATTCTTCATTATTCCAAGGATGCGAGATGATTAGATAATATAATCCAAATAGTATTTAAATATACGAACCCCCAACTTTGACAACAGCTTCTGATCTTGTCTCGTCAAAAAACTTTCCTGATATTGTTATCATTGTTCCTCCCTCTGTGCTGCCTAAGGTTGGAGAGATTGAATGGATTTCTGTTGATAAAATGAAGTTTCAATATGAATTACTAAACAGACATGTCCAAACGAAAATGATTAAATCTACAAAAACACAAGTAAGCGGATGTTTATAAATGTTTGGTTCGAGCTATTTTCTTGCTTCGGTGTTCTTATATAGGATAATGTTCGTGTTGATATCAATTCTAAATTGGTAATTGAACCTTAAAGCTCGTAATTAAACGTCAATACAATGCATATTTGTGCTAAATATTTATTTTATATTTGTGAAATAAACAGACCTGAATAGCTCTGGAACATGAAAATCTGGCCGTTTCGTGATATCTTGTACAGATTCAAATCTGGTTTTGACCTGTAAAATATAATGAATAATATAGACAACACCTTAAACGAGTTATAAATACACAATGCAAATTTTCTTTTGCCAATGTTGAATCCTAAGCATATGAAAATGGATACAATTGTGCACATTCAACGGCATTGCTTTATTGAAAGGCTTATTTCTACATTAAAGGTAAAATTGGTTTGGTTTAGTATTGTTCAACGTCCCATCAACAACTATGGTCATTTACAGACGGTAAGATACATGCGTGTGTGTTTTGGGAGGCAGCGATATGTTCGTGTTTGTCTCTTTGTGATAGCGAAGAACTGATGCCGACTTTATAGTGCCACTTCACTGAAAAATACTGCCAAAGACACCCAGCATGACACCCAAACCGCTCACATTATACTGACAACGGGCGAGCCAGTCGTCCCAGTCCTAAATTGCTGAGCGTTAAGCAGGAGTAGAAACTACCATTTTTACAGACTCCGGTATGTCCCGGCCAGGGGACAGAACCTATAGCCTTCCCCACAGGGGCGAACGCTCAACTACAGGCCAAGAGTGCGGCAGTGTCAAGGGAGACATAAGAAAGAAGGAAAATTATTTAGAAAGAAGAGAAAAGATAAGATCCCAAATTGATTCGCCTCTAACGATTATGCAACGGGGGCAGCTACTGAAATGGCTAATTATCTCGAAAAAGGAAGGTCTTTTGAATACACAAATAAAAGCTACTATATTGACAACGTTCCGAGGTATCGGGGTCAAAGGTCAGGTAGGTATTTTGTATACACATAAACATTGGAATATTGTCGGTATTAAACATTGGAATATTGTCGGTATTAATGCAACTACTCTACTGACATCTTATGAGGTAATGGGGTCAAATGTCAAAGATCACGAATGAATTACGTTATTGAAATGGCTTATTATCTCAAAAATTGTAAATATTTTGTATACACATATACATTACAGTATCGTAGCTAATTATGCAGGCTACATTGTGACAAATTTCCAAAGTCATGAGCACTAATACACCTGCTTTTACCCACTGCATGTATCGTAAAAGGCCACTAATGACGGAACCCTTCTGCAAAATTTGTGATTTGCCTGTGTGCCCTCTATTAGAGGTCACAAAATGACAACAACTGATTCACCAATTGTCAGTATAATGTGATCGGGCGAAGTGCTGTGCTGGGTGCCTTTAACATGGTATTTCAGTTAGATATAACCATAAAGTCGGCATCAGATCCGCGCTATCACAAGGAGGCAAGAACACCAACATACCCTATCTCCAGCACATATGCACGCATCCACAACATACATGGATGCACGTCCTTAAAAACCAAACCAAGGTCAAAGGTAACGGATGCACTTTTTAACTGAAATGGCTAACTATCACAGAAATGGAAGGTATTTTGAATACACATACCTTGGAATATTTCCAGTGCTTAAACGTAGTTTTTTTAGTTTAAATTAGTATGCGACCTTTCTGTGATTATGTATTTGCTGTTTTGCTCGTGTACTTGGTTTTACTTGTTAAATTGCCTCTGTGATATGTGTTTGTCATTTAACTAGTCTTTGTAATTACCTACATGTGATTGGTTATGCGACGTTAAATAAAAAATCTTGTGTCATTGGTGCAAGCTACATTGTAACTAAATTCCGAGGTCAAAGGTCACAGTAGCGGTGTTTGACTTTTCCATCGGTCTTTCGGTATGACATCTGAGGTTAGACTTTTTCATGACCTTTGAACTTTCTTTATATTTTTTCACTTGTTTATTTAGCACCTACATGGGCAACAAGCAGCCGGAATGCGGGTGTATTAGTTAGCCCATAGGCGACAGTTCTAGTTAGTTTTATGTCAGTTCGATCTTTGTTTATCCAATCAGTCTGAAAAACAAACTTGCACAACTATAGATCAAAGGGTTTTGTTTTGTTTTATATTGTTTGACATCCTATTGACAGCTAAGGTAATTTAAGGACGTGACTTCATGTTTGTTGTGTAAGCGTGCATGCGTGTATGTGCGCCGGAGATAGATCAAAGGGAACCTACATATAAAATTTGAAAAGATCCTTCCAGCACTTCCTTGGAAATGGCGATAACAAACCTTTACTGTCAAAATCAATGATGGCCGCCTTTCGGTCATTTTGTTTATCAGAAAGTCTCAAAAGTCTCTAACTATGAACAACAACAGACCAACGGAAACCTATATAACAAATTTGAGAAATATCCCTCCAGTACTGTTTGAGAAATTGCGATAACAAGAATTGTATAGGGTCGGACGACAGGCGATTTGAAAAGCTAACCATCTGATGATGATGATGAGTTAAGAAACGGGAAATTTGAAAGTTAAGAGTCCGAGAAACGGTTTTATGAGCACCAATTGTTTGACGAAGAAATACGAATATAAAATATAAAATATTCCTTGATTTGTAAAATATCACTGTTTAACCTGGTGTTGAACATGCTTATCATTATTTTTTTATGGTAATCGCAACAACTTGTTAAACCGTTGTCAGTTTAATGTAGCATGGCATTTTAGAGGGAAAATATACAAAATCACATTCCTAATTACATTTAACTAAAAGTATACTATGAAGTTATCGGTAACCAAAAATAAAATAACGCCAACAATATTAGCATCACAACTTTTCGTCTGTGGGTAAAATGTAAAAGTGTACTCACCTTCCGTAAGGTAACAACGTAAAACTGGCATTGATATTTCCTGGAACAAGAAAAACATTTCAGAGTATATGCAATTTTATTAAACGTCGATGAAGGAAAATGCGACATATCCGAAAACACCAAGTCATAAATTCAACAAAAATATCACATCAATTTAACCACATGTTAGTCCGAATTACCGGACACTTCCCTAACATACTATGCTGATGACACCCAGCATTATCCTATTCGGTCACATGTACTGACCACGGCTAAACCATTTATTTTAATTACCTTAAGGTTCAACAAGCCCCCTAAAAGAGGTAATAGTCACCCTAAATTTCAACCCCATGGCAAGTCATATTCAAATAATCTTATCACAAATCGGAATATATATATATGTAATTTAAATACATTGAACTTGTACATGAGCTATTAAAAAGGTATATAACCAGGTCAACGAAGTCAAAAATACGGTATTAAGGCTGATGTAATGATAAAAGTTGCTCACCAGATTTATAACATGTCAATCTCCTAAGTGACCCAACTGAATGTTTCGAAATGACATGTTATTTGAAGATCATTTATATACCTAGGTCAAGCGGGGCTTTATTTTCTCTTTAACTATGTGTGGAGAGGCATACCGGCCTCACAAGTAGATGATTGTTGCTATGGGAATGTACAAAAATCATAGTAAAACGTCAGAGTAATATATTTTAACGGTATATATGTGTATAACCATATACATTTGACCATAAATACTATTTAAACTTCATATACAATGTCCTTCTTTAGCATTCAATATTGTAATAAAAGAGCTAGACTTGTTGTAAACATTATTGTACTTTTCAGCTTCAATGTTTATAACATGTCTAGCGCATTCATATAGACACATAATGTTATCAAATGGCACATCATCTCAAGTTCATTTATCGATCAAGGTTACTTAGCCATTGTTTTCTTATCGAAAAGCAGGAGTAGAAACTACCATTTTTAAATACTTTGATATGTCTCGGCCAGGGGACAGAACCCAAAACCTTCCTCACAGGGGCCTTAAAATCATTCTGCGGGAAATAGATTTGTATACTAACTTAATGGAGTTCATCAGTTACGTTCATTTTAGGACGTGCCTCCATTTGTGTTGTGTGAGCACGCATGTTTGTATGTATGCTGGAGGCATATAGACATACAAATTGAAGACATCCAAGATATCGCTGCATCTTGAATAATGTACAATGTATAACACACAAATTAGGCTAACCTGTTTTTGATCCTGATGCACTTATCCTGCAGGTCATGAAACCGTTCTCACTGCGTCCGTTACTGTCTAAAAGGATTCCATAGCTAAAACAAACAAAAAATACATTTTTTATGTCTTTATGTCAATGAATAGTTTGGTTTAGTTTGGTTAATTTTGTTTAACTTCCTATTTACAGCTAGTGTCATTTAAGGACGTGCCTTCATGTTTGTAGTGTATGCATGCTTGCGTGTGTGTATGCAGGAGACAGGGTATGTTGGTGTGTCAATGAATTAGTAGTGACCGAAGCTCTTAAATGGCAACACCTGCGTGCGTAAACAGTTGCTTCCCTTGTTACACATTGCCCTAAAAAAAATGACCGGAGGTAGCCGCCCGGGAGACCGTAAGTGTGTCCCGTTATCAATGACAATTATGTTTCAACGCATACAAGTATATCTACGTATAGTGAAAACCATCTTTATATTTTATCTATTTAAGTTTTATTTAGGGGAAAAAACCCAATACTAATTACGAAGTAGCAATTATCATTTGGCGTATTCTCGTTAGCTTTATCATCTCTTGATAAGGAAAACAAGCAAATTCGTGGAATTTATATCCTCCGCTTTCAGGACATATTGTAGCTAAACATTATCAAGGTTATGTTTAAACATGTGAGTATCGTGATGTTGAGAAATAATGTATAAGCTTGAAACTCGAAGAAAAAAGCCTTATTTTATATTTATTAGAGTTATTAAGCGAAAACTGCAGATAATGATTTTCTGCAAAATGGAGTCCGATTAAAGTGGTTGTCAAACTTGGCCGAGCCCTTAATGCGTTGAAACCTGTTACTAAGTTAATTAACAGAAACGGAAGATAAAGACGTTTTTCGTTATTCAAGGGGCCATTACTCCGCCAAATGGGGTCTGCTGAAAGTTGTCATCAAACTTGGTCGAGCCCTAGAGAAATTTAACCCGTGTACCAAGTTTGAAGAAAATCGGTTAGAATGTGTTGTATTTATTGCCCGGAAATGAAACGCATCAGATAATGACATTTATCTTTATTCAAGGGGCCATAACTCCGCCGAATGGAAACGAAGCGTGACAGACAGACAGGCAGACAAACCCAAATTAATATCCCCCGTTTCGATGAAAATAAAAATAAACAGAATATAATCGTTTACAGTATAGTTGTAATAGTTCAACATTTTCCGATATTGATAAAAGCTAATATAAATTTCGAGTGAAACATGTTATCACATAAAATTGTATGTTGGTATGTCCAAGCTTAGGACAGATCCTATTGCCTTCCTCACCTGGGCGAACGTGATGCCACGCAAGGCGTTAAGAAATAAAATGTAATTAGAAGTATAAACATGTATAAATGTTCCATATTTTCCTCGATTGCATGTCCCCAAGTAGATAGAGGGCACAAACGCAAATTCCCAATTCTGCAGGGGTCCACCTTTGCCGCCTCTTACGATACATCTTTCATCAATCTCCTACCTGCAAGGTTGTAGTAAATGGTATGTAATTGTTAGGCTAAACGTAACGTTGCGGCCTATTGTCAACGCCTCTGAAGCCTGTGTACAACTACAATCCTAGCATTCTGATTGGTCTAAATCTTCCAACAAGTTACTAACACCACCTAGTGTTGAAATGTGTAAACGGTCTGACTGCCGCCATTACTTAAAATGGTTTTATGCATACATACAATTGCTGCGAGACAAACAATAGATACACAAGAAGCTTATCCTATCAAATAAGTCACGCATTTCTGACACTTTTCAGATTGACACACACGTCAAACATCAACTGACAATGCTCTACTTTACATCAATTCATCGATACGTGACAATATGGTGGGGCGAACTGGATTATGGGATGACTGACTTCGAAGTCCATAGTGCTGATTTACCGGGAAATTCAAACTGTTTTGACTATTGTTTAAAAAAAAATGAGGAATGGTATATTAATCGTCAAAAAAGTAATCTCAATATCATTTTATATTCCACATCACATAAACCTCCACACTTTGAATCACTTGTGATACATATTTATGCCATGAATAGCGAGGTAAACTTTGCACTGTCGAGTCGCTAGTCGGTCAAACCAACATTGTCATTGTGGATTTGAAACATTTAATTATCATTTGGTTATTATTTGATTATCATTTAATCGTAAAATTTCTTTGGAAAATTTTCGGTTTTTCTCGGAGATTCACTGCTGCTGCTAAAGAGAGCTGACATCGAGTATCAACTGCTCGCATTTTACGCCTAAAAAAAGATGTTTTCAGAACGTAAGTAAGCACAATTCATGTCATGTCTGTAATTGAATACTGTGAGAATGCATTTTTCAAAAGCAAATATTTTTCAAAACGATGGAGAAGTGAGGATTTAGACGTTCCATGTGCACTATGCACGCATGGCCGCCACGACACTGTTTACATTGATCACACAGAAACTATGTCTTTACGGAGCAAGGAATCTATGTCCTATACTTATATATAATTTTGAGTAAGCATTTATTTCAATGTGTTGAATGATAGCATGTTAGTGTACCTTGTACATTCAGTATTTGGCACGTCGACTATGCATATCGGACGCCATGACACTTTTCGAAGAAAAAACAACCCATTCTGTTTATTTGCACAAAGTTCTTCATTAAATAACATATTGAAAAGAAATCAATAGTTAAAACAGCTTATATAGAACACTTAATACCAAAACATTGATATTATGTTATGCACCCTTTAAAGTGTACCCGGACTGATCTGCAATATTAAGTTTGAAAATACACCACTTCATAAAACAGGAAGTGGAGAAAGTGGGAACGCCATAGCGACTTTCGTTTCAGAGAAATCACGATACTTCTTGAAATCTTACCTATGACCCGGCCCTACAGCGATGGCCCCGGTTCGGTGTCCCAGACCTGTGACGTCACAGGTTCAACGCGGTCAACTCAACCCTATTAGATATTACCAAAGAGCGATTTGTACCGTGATATATGCGTCTTGTCATGTGATTAACAAAATTTTCATCTTCTTTTTATTGTGATTATAGAGGTTTAAAAACGACATGTTTACACACCCATATACGTTTATTTTAACGCTGAAGTGTTGTGGAAGGAGCTTGTATCGAGGAGGAATAAAAAACGTGTTGTGTATGGATGTCGGAACACGCATGCAGATAGTGTCTCATTTCAATCCCAGCAGAAAGTATAAGTGAAAAGCGTACACACTAATAGTTATGTATATATGCAATACTTTCCATACTATCAATGAACCTCTGTAGAGCTGTGTATTGCCACCAATTCCATGATACCTTACGTGTTGCGATACAGACTGGCGATGTCTATTGAAAATTGAAACTATAGCTTCTTAATCTCATCACTTTATTCCTTCACATGCACAGTTTTAAATGAAAACAAGCAAAACAAAAAAAACTTAAACATAAAATGAAAAATAGAAATACAAACATGATATACATATATGATTTGAAAACAAGTACAAAGTACTTATGTTAATCCGTCTCCTTTTTGTGAAACGGCAATTTGATGGCTCTGACTAATATTATACATATATCACATAGCCATAAACTTTATGAACTTAATTAGAAAATTCCTCCCTCTAACTTACAATTATCTCATAAATAGTAAAGCATTGCAAAATTTAAGGAAACTTTCTTTAACTGGATTTTTTATTCAACTCCAATAACAATATCGTGTGGAAAGATAAGAATACGTTATGAAACCGATGCCTGAATACTTGTTGAGGGCATTGCCAATTCTTACCTGAAGAGCGTGGTTTCTTCAAATGATTCTAATACATACATACATACATACATACATATTTTCGTCTATTCAGTTTTCAAACTCCTAAAAATAGCTTTCATTTCAGTAATAATTACCATAACTTTAGTATGCATAGACAATACCAACACCCATCTTTGTAGCCAAAAAACAAAAGATTAAAAAATACCGGCCTCCCTACCGTGACGTAACCCTTATCTCGATAACAGAGCCACGGAGTGATCTCCCTTCCTCAAACCCCTTTTATGGAGCCTAAAGGCAGCCGGCATGAGGCAATGGCAGGAATACAGAGTGGGACTCCATAAAGTTATGGTAAGTATTACATCATGAAAATCGGTTTTACTTCAAAAACCTCAATTTCATTTCAGTAATAATTACCATAACTTTAGTATGCGAATTCGTCTTACCGTAGTGGAGGCTTCGAATCCAGGCAGACCAGGCTGACGGAACAAACTCGAGACATGTTTAAGGTAGGGAAAAGGTTCAAGGACTCCCTCCCGATGAAGGCAGGACCAGTAAGAAGGGTAACGGCAGAGTAATTCCTGAAGCACCGGAGGCAAGAGGGTCGAGAAGACAAGGCATGATTCTTACTCCTCATTGGAAAGAAAAGTAGACGAGGCTACCTCTGGCCTACCATGAATAGAGAGAACACTAGCAATGGCCGTGCGATAACCAGCGATAGTGCCAGGGGCAAGATTACGGTCCCTAAACAGCCAAAGAAGGAAGTCTGCAATCACCTGGACAGTAGCCTTGATCGGATCAATCTTCCTGCCGACGCACCAATCACAGTAAATCTTCCATAATGACTGGTAGACGGCAGATGAGAGGGACCTTATTGATCGAGCGATGCGATCTGACACGTCCCTAGAAAAGCCCGCCTGAGCGAGGCCTCCTGAGATAGCTTCCACGCGTGAAGGTGGAGGATCTCCGGACGAGAGTGCATCGTCCTGGACCGAGGCTGGCGAAGGAGGTTCGCTCTGAGAGGGAGAGTCAGGGGCTCTTCCACCAGAAGCGACTAAAGCTCCGGAAACCAAGGCTGTCTCGGCCACAGGAGCGCTATCAAGAGGAGGGAACACTGATGCTCCCGAAACTTCTGAAGCACCTACCTACCAATTTGAAGGGCGGATATGCATTCCCTCCCAATCCAGAGACAGAGCGTCCAGGGTCCAAACCCTCGGTTCTGGAACCGGAGAAACAAACGTTGGCAACTGGTTGTTCAGTGAAGTAGCGAACAGGTCTATGTGAGGCCTGTCCCACACCTGATAAATTCCCTCAAAATCGAGGGATTTAGTTGCCACTCC